CCACCTACAGAAGAACAGAGAACCAGACATCCAAGAGACCTTGGAGGCAAACTTATCAGAGAATAGGAAGGTGGATTAAGCAATCAGGGGTCAAAGGTTAAGGTACCAGACTATTACAGGCATTCATGGGCCAAGAGGCCCAGGGATTAGGAGATTTTCTGCTTATATCTTAAAGGTTTCAGGCTTAAGAGTTGGGCTGGGCCAGAGATCAGGGGCTATACAGGCCAGATACCTGAAAGTGTCCCCAGTGCGGTCATGGAAGCGTAGGAAGCCATAGGCATCACAGACCAACAAGTCCCCAGTGTTGAAGAAGACATCACCAGGACGGAAGACGTCCTGCAACAGCTTCCCCTGTGCCAGCTCAGGGCTCCCTGCATATCCTAGAAATGGGGCTCCCTGGTTCACTGGAGCCACCATCAGCCCTGCCTCACCTGGGGAGGGCACAGGGGTCAGGTATGGTGGCTACTCAACAAACCCCAATGCTCCTCATCCTGCTTCCAACCCCACCTTCCTCGGGCTCACCAGTAGGCACAGGGACACAGAGCCCCTGCTCATCCCGTACTGGTTCCCCTGAAGCCACATCATATCGAATCAAGGAGAAGGGTGAAAATAGCTAGGGGGAAGGGATGACAGACAAGTTGGAATAGAAACCCTCCAGAAGACATTCTCCCATTTCTTCCTACATCCTCCCCACAGCATTTTTCCCTTCCCCCACCCCCACCCCTTACCTTGTAGAGCCAGGATGACCTCCCCACAGCACCTGGGTATCCAATGTAGTTGAATGTGGCTACATTGCCCTCTGTTAGACCATAAGTCTCCAGTACCCGTAGGGGCCCAAATCGTTGCACAAAACGGTTCCAGATGTCTAATCGTAGTCCACTGCCCACTGCCAGACGTACGCCATGGTTACGTTCCCCCTCACTCTGCAACAGGCAAAGGAGAGAGTGTATATACCTTCGGCCCCATATACCACTCGCACCGGTCCCTTTGGGTGCCTCTGACTCTCTGCACCCCAGTATAACACTATTCACTACCCCAATTCCAGAGCCTTCCCACTCTTACTCTCCCAGCTAGGACTTCTGCTATCTCTCCTTCCCACCACCAGACCTCCTTTTCCTCCCCAATCTCTATTCTTACTCCAGCCTTATGGTGTCTCCATACCCCTTTTTCCTATGACCAGAAAGAACTGCTGTGCCCCCCCTCCCCAAGACCCAATGCTCCCCATTGCCCCTCAGCACCGGTGGCTGGTTGACGAGGTATCGACACAACTCTCCAATGTACTGGAATACTGTCACTCCATGTTCCCGACAGTCCTCCCAGAACTGGCTAGCAGAGAACTTGGTCTTCAGCACCACAGTGGCCCCTAGTCCAGGAAGAAGGTTGAACTAAGAAACTGTGATTCTTACTTCATTCTGCCTCCCATTCCCTGAAAGCAGAACCTATTCCAAAAGGAACCCACACCCAATACCTCAGTTCACTTTTTCTTTCCTCCCTGGGCACTAGTGCTCAGACTCTCCCATTGCCCAGGGTACAGTGGGATTCCTGGAAAAGGAACTCTGGGGAAGACATCCATGAAGGTTTTCCTTCACTTGATTGGCTGTGGGCAGCCCTCTGTCTCAGTTGCAGCTTCAGCAAACAATCTTTCCTTCTTCTTACTCTGCACCTGAACTTTCCTACAAAATCTTCCCTAGCTCTCCTCACACAAAGCCTATCCCTTCCTTCTCAATCCTGCCCTATGCACCTCTCCTCTGGTTACTGTTTCCAGATGGACTCTACTCTCTGGTGCACGGCTCCTAATTCCTCCTTATTTCCTTAGCTTGGAGATATAAAAGGGCTGTCCAGGTGGTCAGCCCTTGGCTCTCTGCCTATGTCCTAGAGGTATCATAGTTCTGCCTTTCCAATCAGTGTTCCCTAAGATCATAGACTTTATCACCTCTCTATGGATCCAGTTTCTCTCTACCCTCCCCTGATGGAAGTGTATGAATGGTAGGGAATCAGTAAGGGAAGAAGGGGAAAAAAACCCCCCAAACTGAGTAACAGACCAATGCCCAGGCAGCCAACGATGCCCAGCAGAGAGCCTGACATATGGTAAAGCGGGAGGGTGAGGTAGATAACATCGTTTTGGTGGACATCACATAGCTGGTAGAACCCCTGGCACTGCAGCACCTTCATGTGACTGATCCGAGCAGCCTTGGGAAGCCCTGAAGGGGAGAAATCACAAGGGGAATCTGAGCTCCTGACCGTTCTGGAACAGCTCCAGGTTCTGGCCTCCCAGGCATGAAGAGCAAGGCCTAGGAACATCAACAGGGAGGAGCGTGAAGGCTAAGGAGAATCCTCGATCTAGAGCCCTGGGACCACCTAGTCCAACCCCGCCCCCTTTTGTAGATGAGGAAACAAGTCCAGTTTAAGTTAAGTGACTTGCTCAATGTCACATAGGTAGTCAGTGTCAGAGCAAGAACTGAACTCAGGTCTTCTGACACCAGGGCCAGAGCTTGTTCTAAGGTACAAGGACTTTTTAGAAGGTACAAATAAAGGAAAGGAGAAATCCCCTTTGGGGGTGGGTGAGGGGAGGGAGAAAAACCAACCAGTACAAACATAGGGGAAAAGACAGGCTACCCTCCGAAAAGTTGGTTTGAGGAGCTAGGGAAGGCATGATCTCATAGCCATTTTTGCTCCTTTCCCAGCTCGAGGAAACCCAGACCCTGCAAGTCAGGATGCAGCAGTGGGTGATGGGGTGAGGGTCTCACCAGTAGTTCCAGAGGTAAAGATGTACAGACAAGTGTCCAGAATGTTTCTGGGAGCTGACAAGTACCCAGGCAGTGGCCCTTCTCCTTCTGTAGCCACCTCAGCCAGAAGATCGCTGAAGCCTTCGGGGTGGGGTCCAGGGCCTGCAGCCCATAATTTTAGCTGCAAGTCTTTTAGATCTGACAGGTCAGGCTCCAGGGATTCCAAGAACTCTGTTTGGGGAAATTGAAGGGAACAAAAACTTGGATACAAACAGTCTTTTAGGGCTGTAAGGGACTATGATAGGTCAAAATCTTATTTTTTCCAGGTGAGGAAACTGAGGCCCAGAGGGATGAAGTGATTTGTTTAAAATCTCACAGCCAATTAGTGACAGAGCTTTGTCTCTAGCCTATAGCTCAAGTCTCCAGACTCTCAAACCCTTTTCAAACTCCTCTCTACTAGGGCCCCTCCGTACCATCCCAGGTGAGGGTGTAAAGAAGCAGTAACTCCGGGCAAATCTCAGTTCTAGGGCCTTTTTAGGAACCCAAAGGGCAGCCCCGCCCCCGTCCGAATTCCAGAGACATATAGCCCCGCCCCCCGAACGCGGGAGAGGTACTGCTGCTTCTCTTTCCGAACCGTAAAGTCTCCTCCCAGACCAGCTCGGAACCCCCAGGTAGAGCCATGCCCACTTACAACCGCGCTCACCTGGCGCCACAACTAGGGCGCGAGCGCCACAGCTCCGGAGACAGTGCAGTAGGGGGCCTCGACGAAGCGCGGTGGGCACAAAGGCAGCCTGGAGCCCCGCTTTAGCGAGTCCGAACCAGAGCCACAAGAACTCCGGGGTAGCAGGGAGCAGCAACGCCACTACCGACCCGGACTCCAGGGAGGCCGAATTCCCTCCTTCGGGGACAGCTTCATCATCTTGGATCGGTGCATGCTCGGCTTCTCTTCTTATTGTGTCCCCTGCGCCACTTGCGTACCGTGCACCTTTCTCAGTGGCCCCCATCCCATCTCCTCGGTCCAGGTTAGGGTCCTCTTTCCAGCCCCTCAGGCGCAAAAAAGCACGTGCAACTCGGTTACTCTCGCGCTCCGCCTGCGCATAACTGTAGTGCCTGCCGTGGTGAATGAGAAAGGTGCGCCCGGGGCGCTCCCGGACCAGCTGCGAGAGGCGCCAGGCCAGGCTGCAGCCACCCTCGGGCCCCCTCGGGTCCGCTGCAGCGGCGGCGGCTGCTCTGGCTTGCAGGGCTCGCTTGCATCTTCTAGCGCGCACAGTAAAGGCCAAATCTGCTATAAGCCAGCGGAGCCAGGGCCACCGGAGCAGCTTCAGCAGAAGTAGCGGCAGTAGCAGCAGCAGGGGTAGCAGGAGGAGCGCGGCCATGGTGCCCCTCCCCAGTCCAGACCTTATACCTCGCCCTGCCCCAACCCCTCACCGAAAAGTTGGGAATGCGCGAGAGCTATACCTCTCCTTCCCGAAAGCGCGCCGGCACTGGCACACGCCCCTTTCCTCCCACCTCCCTACCCTACCTCGTCCCAGTTCCCCAACACTCCCGAGTGACAAGGAGCTAGGCCAGGGAGGGAGAGGATGGGGGATGGCGAAGCACTCCCCGCCCATCTCCCCTTCCTACGCTCCGCCCAGGGCGTGCCCCCTCTCGGGGTATGGGCAATCTTGTCCCCCTCCCCAACCTGAATTTTAAACAGCCAGCAATCCTCATTCCAGGAGACGCCCCAGATTTTGGGTTCTTCTCAAGGGGGACTTAGCGTCTGGGGTTGGGAGTCAAAGTGCATTCTCTTAGTTTCCCCCTCTTTGAGGATTGCGCTAGCCACGCACACAGTTGGGCCCATCATCCCACCTCGGTTCCCCAAAGCGCTGGGGATCCCCGTCTTTCCTCCCCGCCCCCTCCACCTCTACTCTCAGATTCCTACAAATCCTAGCTCTGTAGCCAGGCTCCTCCCAGCTGCCAACATCTGCAGCCCCCAGGCCGGGTGGAGCCTCAATTCGGTAAGTAGGGGAAAGGTGATGGTGAGCTGGGAGCTAAGAAGAGGGAGTACTGAGCAGGCTAGTCTGCTGCCCCTCCCTCCCGGCTGCGAGAATAAAACCCTAACTGGAGAAAACCACTGGGTGGTTTCCATCTCTGTTCTAATTGGGGCAGAGAAAACTGGGGAAGAAGCAGCCAGATGCGAGATAGCTTTTCAGGGAAGTCAGTCTTTGGAAGGGGGTTTCAAAGTCTGCCCACATTTTCTTAGGTCTCCAGCACTTAGTTGGCGGTCAACGTAAAAAGAATTTAAGTGGCCCAAAGGCGTTTTTTATTTCTCCATTTGGCGATGCCCAAAGGCTTCATCACCTATGGTCGATGTAGGGAAACTCAGCTGTGTCTGTAGATTTAGAAAGGGGAGCAGAGGCGTGGCACATCTTCAGATCCGCCAAGCAGCCCACTGCTCCAATCTCTTAACCAGGAGAAATAACCCACAGCTGGGGAATCTATTATTTCAGGAAAAGGGAATCATCAAGCCTAAGACGAATTTTAACAAGGATCGGGTCTACAGCCATACTAGATATCAATACTAAACCATCCAACTTTTGCTCCAATGGGAACAAGAAGTAAACACTAGAACTGCCTGTTTGGAAGTGAACGTGGGGCTTCTGAATGCCCATCTCACAGGCCTAGATAGCATCAGTAACACCCGGGTATGTGCACTTGGCCACCCTTTGGATGAGTGCATAACAAAAAGTGGGGAGATGAAAGGAGGAAAGAAAACAGGACAGAACAGGGGCTGGAAAGAATGAAGTTGATAGGAAGAAATGAAAAAAAAAGAAGAAATGAGGAGCATGGACCAGAAATCACCTAGAAGAGTTGGGTTCAGCTCCATCAGCCCACCTCACGGAGCTAGAGCATCCCTGATAGTACTAAGGGCAGAAGTGCAAGAAACCAGTCCTCTGGCAGAGGCCAGGGGCAGGTGTGGTCGGTGGCTTTTGTACAAAACAGGTTCCCATTTGTTTTATTGTCATTTAAAAACACCTTTAAAAACACTAATGTCTCTGGCCAAAGAAGGGATAAGAGGAACCAGTGAGGAAAGGGAACCATTCTTCCCCAGTCCTTCCAGAGGCTCTTCAGTTAGCCCCAGGTGGGGCAACATACACACAGATGCCTCTCGAGTTCTTCACGCATTTCCACTGGTGGCAGCCTGCCTCACACTGATGTGCTGAAGGCTACTTTCCCAGGGACTGTTAGCTCACCCAAGCCCTGAAGCCTATCCCTCAGGCCCCTTCCTCAGGGCTCCCAGGGACCTCGAGGAGAGCTGAGAGCATGGCACCCTCAGGGATCTCCCCCAGCCGACAAAGCCTGGGAGTCTTTAGGGCCAAGACACAGCGTTTGGTGCTCCAGGGCGGCCATATTCACAGAGGAAATACTCATTTCATTCAGACACAAGAGTAGGAAAATATGCCTGCCTCTAGCACAACATGCTTGAAAAAGGGGAACACTTCAAACTCTCCATTTTGGTCTTCTGTCTTTAGGCAGTCACCTTTTTCTGCTAAAACAGCTCTGCAGGAAGCTGGGGACTCTCACAACAGATCATTGATTTGAGTGGATCATGGCCTCAGCAGGGACCCAGGTGTCCATGTGGGAGGGCCAGAAGCCCAGCCTGGAGGCCCTGGGGGGTCGGGATAGGACAAGGGGTTGCTACTGTCCTGAGGGGAGGGCAGGCTCTGCAGGGAAGCAAGGGGCAGCAGCTGTTTGGGCTGAACTAGATCAAAAAGCTTCCCCCTTTTCCCCCAACGTGAAAACTGGGGATAGGGCAGCTCAGAACTGACCCCCAAAGCTCCCCTTAACCTGTGACTCTCCAGTAGGGGAAAGGGGGAGGGCAGCCCTAATAAGTCCTGGGGGATGGGGGTAGAAGGGCAGGCAGGCCTCAGTCACTGTCTGAGCCCACTGCAGACGATCCTTTCCTTTTCCTCTTGGTAGGCTTGGGTTTTGTGTCTTCCTCCTCCTGAAAAACAATGCAAAGAATGGGGGATGGGAGAAAGGAAGCATGGCGAGGCTGGGCACCAACGGCACTGTCCTGTATTCATTCTCGCCCGCATGCCCCCAACCCCTTCGTCCTGGGCAGAGGCCAGAGTGGGGCATCTCACCGAAGCACTGCTGGAGCCCGACTCCTCCTCCGCGTTGGGGGGCTGTGTGGCGTTCTTTCGGCTCCGGGGGCTGCACAGAGCAGCCTTTCGACGGCTCTTGGGAGGCTTGGTGGAAGAGTCCTCGTACTCCTCAGCCAAGGAGAAGAGGTCACTGAACCTGGCAGAGAGATGAAGGGCTCAGAGCTCCGAGGCTGGCCTGGGGGCGTGTGGGAGGGCTCCAGAGTCCACACTGCTCCAGCTCAAAGTATTCCTCCCCAGCCCCTCGCCAATTCTCTCCTCCATCATCTGCTTCCCAACTGTACTGTCCCCTAGCTAAGTGGCGAGTTCTCCTGCCCGGCACTCCCTGCACCCGTTCATCTTCCCCACCGAAGAGTAAGGAGCCTTACTTCATCTTGTGGGCCTCGTCACAGCTTGCCTGAACGTGCTGCAGAGCCTGCAGGATTGGGGTCTGGCTGAAAACTGCAGGGAGCACACAATGGGGAGAAACAAGAAAGGAGGAAAACTGATCAGGGGCAAACCTGCCAAGACTCGGTCCAAAAGATTCCTTCCATTCGTCCCAACCCCAACCCTCCCTTCTCACAAATAAGACTGAACACCTGACTTTTCAGGAGCAACACTGCTCTGGCCCTGCCCGAGACCCAACTTAGAGGTAAAGGGATGGGATGGTGATGCTGGGGTGAGCTACAGGAAGGGGCCCCCAAGGTGAAGCCGGGGAGGAATCCATGATCCCAGGGGTAATGAAAGGCTGAGAAGCTGGGGAAAGGTGAAGACGATCAGCATACAGTTCTGTTTGGTGTTGGTCAGATTGAGACGAAGGTTATCCAGATGTTCCAGGATCTGCTCCAGGGTCAGCTGGGCCAGCTTGCTGCTAGAGCTTCTCAAGCTAGGAGATTGACCAGCAACGTGACAAAGTTAGTATGTTGTAGCAAGAGACTAGGTGCTGGGGTGACTACACTTCAGGGAGAATCTCTGCCTTAAAACACATAAAAAGGCTTTTTGAGCAGGGAAGTACCCTGTGGATTCAAAGCCCAGGTCTAATGGGACCTCAGGCACCCTTGGGGGGAGGGAGCTGGGCAGCTAAATCCCCAGGTGAAAGGAGCTACTCTGTATGCCATATGACTTTAGACCACTAGAGGTCACCCACAAACCAGGATAGGGATGGTGGTTAAAAAAAGGAACTCTCTATAGGCTTCATCACTGAATTTACAGCTCGAACTTTGAAGGTCATGGTATGGATGGGGCCTGGGTGCTGACTCCGTTTAGGGTGGCACTGTGTTGGGCACTGACGCCAGGCATGGTCCTATGATCGAGCCTGGCTGGAGTGAGATTAGGCGAGGGTGTTGGCCTGGGAAACTTGGGGTTAACAGAGTCTGGGTGGGGGCATCTGGGACCCTCCTAATGAGAAGGGGGCAGTCCTCCAAGCCCATCCTACCTTTGCCTCTTTCGGGGGAGGCTGTTGTTCTTGATAAGCAGGGACTTGATATGCTCTGCTAACAGCTCATCATGCTTGATGCACCAGTGTCTGAGGATGCTGGTGGTGAACTGGTCATCGGGGTGGCAAGGCCGACTCAGAACCATCTTCACCATCTCCTCGCTAGGCCTGAGGGAGGCAGGCAGGGGGTGTCAGAAGACAATCCTAGGAAGTACTAGTTCATTCCCAAACCTCTGCTCTCTCCTTAGTAATCCTCTCATTTTCCTTTCAAGAATCATGATACAGTGGAATATACCCCGGACTTGGGAATCAGAAGCCATGGGTTTGAATCCTGGCTCTTATATTTACTAACTATATGACCCTGAACACATCACTCTGAATCTCAATTTTCTCAGTCATAAAACAGAGGCAATAATTGTGGGATCACAGGATCTTTGAGTTGGAAGGGACCTCTGAGATCATCTAATCCAGTCCTTTATTTTATAGGTAAGGAAGATGAGCCTCAGAAAGGTTAAGAACCTTGGTCCTGAGCTCCACAGGCCAGATCTTGCTCTGCCTGTGGGAGCAGCCTGTGGAGCGTTGGGACTCCCAGTCACCACATGGGAGGAGGAGACAGGGCACAATAGAGCCTTCTTGAAATGAACAGAACCAGGGAACTACTGACTGGGGCAGGAAGATTAAGGATAAGATGGCACGTACAGACAGGATCCCCCAGAGCCATCCCTGGGATCTTCCTGCCCACTGCACTAAGAAAAGGGGCAGGGGGAGGGGTGGAGAAGATCAGTCCCATTCTCCACCTGAGGCCATTTCCTTCAGAACTTTCTGTACCATCTCTTTTCTCTGTGCAGAGGAAAGAGAAGGTGGAAGGAAGGAAGGAAGGAAATGCTGATTACAGCTGCTGCCCCCTTTATCTGGCTCCTGAGGTGGTGGCCTGAGGCTGCTTAAGAGAGGCCTCCATGACCTGAAGAGAGCACCTTGACCAGACTGCAACCCTCCTGCAGGCACAAGGAAGATGCTGGGCATGGGTAGTTGTACAGGTATTTGGGAGGGGGAGGGAGAGAGAGAGAGAGAGAGAGAGAGAGAGAGAGAGAGAGAGAGAGAGCCCAGGAGGCAGTGATGTGGAATGACACTTCATTCTGACCCTTCTTCCCCTTGGATTAGCCATATGGCAGGGAGACAGAGAGAGGGGAAGCCACCGATGATTAGAACTGCTGTGGTAGCAGGAAACAGGGATGTCCGGTCTCCACCTCCCAGGGCAGCCTCTGGTGAGCAGGGGACTAGAGAAGAGAGGAAACCAGAGTCCCAAGGGAGCCTGCCTGTTTATAAACCATTTTGGGGGAGGGGAGAAAAAAGTCACCCCAACAGATGGAGGAAGTAAACATGCCAAAAGAACGGAATAGGAACCCCCCCCCAATCACTGCTTCCCATAGTATCCCCAAGATAGAGATGAAAAAATTCTCAATCCCTTTTTCCTTGGACAGGTATCCCAAGGACACAGATAATGGAGTTTGGGGGTAGGAAGCTCACTTCTCTCTCCGGAGCTGAAGCAGCAGGCAGGATAGAGCCTCAGGGTGTTCTGCAGAAAAAAAGTTAGATATTGATAGAATTGGGGACAAGGGAAAGGGTGAGTAACAAGGAGGAATCCATCCATCTCAAACTATGTATGTCTGACAGTAGCGACTAGGAAAAAAGTAGGGGAGATCTTAGAAAGGAAAAAAAAAAACCTGTTCTACCCCATTCCTTTTTCAAGTAAGTCAACTTGGGCTCTTGGTCTCTATGTGGACAACTGCTCCACTGTGTGCCCCACCCCCACAATCTAGCCATCCATTCCTCAGGAAAAGCAAGAGTCATCTGAAAAGTAAAAGGGGTTTGGAACTGTCTGTAGGGGAGTGGGGCACGTAAGGGAAGGAAGGAGCCCCTTCCCGAGCCCCTGAACGTGTCATAGAATATCCTAAGCCCTGAGGATGTTCTAGATTGTTCTATGCCCACTCTCTTCTCCTCAGGCTCTAGTCTCTTTACCCCTGTACTCACCCTTATATTTGAGATGCTGCAGAATGGGGATGATGGTCTCCAAGGGGATGTTGTGAGCCAAGAAGAGCTGCCAGGCACAGTACTGCTCAAAGGTTTCCCAGTCTAGGCTTTGGACTGGAGAAAGGTAGAAAAGGGTGTGTGTGGGGGTTTTCTCTTTGGTTACAATTCAATAAGTGGAAAGACAAAGCTTACAGTCATGTTACACTGATTGCTTGCATTCCCTAAAACTTTTACTTCCCCAGATCTTCCTATTTTATGGAGTAGAAAGAGAGCTGGTGATGAGCCTAAGGCAGGAGTAGGTGCCCTATCCAGCTTCTCTCCACCCCCTTCCCAATATCAAAATACCCATAGGAATTGCCATCCCGCCCCAACCCCAATTTTCTGCTCCAAGATACCCAGCAGGTGTGGTCACTTACTGAGGATGTTGAGGACAGAGTCCTTTCGAAACATGACCAGATTCCCCATCATCACATGGCAGACCAATTCCTGCAGCTAGATAGGTAGGGGTGGGTATGATGGTAGAGAAAGGGGCATCATTAGCATCAGTCTCATTAGGGAGGGGAGGGGAGGGGAGGAGGGCAAGCCAGGAGCCCAAAGAGAAGGAGGTATGAATAAATGGTACATGACAAGACAATCCCAAATATGGTAGAGGAGTATGTTTAGAAAGCTGATTTGGGGAAAGGTGGGGGGTGGGGTGGGAAGAAAGAAACTATTCCTGAGGGCCCCCTGTCGATATCTTTGTCTTCCTTCCAACAATCACTCTCTTAGAACAGTAGAACTGGGTGGGTGACATCACTATGCCACTGAGTATATGGTTGAGAGAAGGAAGAAGGGTCATCCTATAATAATGGAGTCCCCTTGTTTTGGCCTATGACTAGCCAGGTGTGGCCACCGACTGAGGATGCTGAAGACAGACTTCTTGTGAAACATGACCCCGAAACAACCCCATTGATGAGAATGGGGAACTCACCCTCGGGGAACCCAACTCTTGGAACTACCCATGACTAATCTGGGTTCATGTCTGGGCCAGCGTGGCAGAGTGGAGTGGTACAGTCTTGGGTGGACAGAAAGGAAGAATGCCCCAGGAAGAGCTAGCTCATAGATGGAGCATCAGTCCACACCTGGAATAGAGTCTAAGTGTGCTGGACACCCCATGCCTCTTTGTGACCTTAGGATACAGAAAGTGATAAAAGGGACAGGACTAACTTTTTCCAATCCAACCCCAACTGAGAGAGGCAAAACCCCTGAAACAGTTCCAACACTCTTTACTAACAGAGAGGGGATGGAGATATCAAATGATGTTGGAAGGGGAGAGTGCTACTGAGACTTCCTTGGCCTGGTCCTCGTCCCTCCTACTGGCTTCGTTCTCAGTATCCTCGACACAGAAGTCCTCAGCACACAGAGTCTCTATTAACACTCCCAAAGGGCCCTCGAGGGGAAAGGCTGCCGTGCGTCTATGTGCAGAGGCATGTGTCTGTCTGAACATGTCTAGAGAACTGGACAGAAGGGAAGCCTAGCATTTCACCCCAAGTAACTCAGGAAAACCATACTTACTTGTGCTGAGTCAATCACAGCCACAATCATGTTGAGGAGCTCCCCACTCCTCAAGGTTTCATCTGGAAACTGGGAAAATGAAGAAAAGAGTCAGTCAGGTGTCCAGAGATGTTCTTTCTCCCATTCTTCATTCTGGGACAAACATATTTGGTACAAATATTCTCAATAATGGCGATCTCATCGTGGGAGAGCTCAACCTTTGGAATCACTGTGAGGACAGAGAGAGACAGGCTAGGTGGCCAGGGGAGTGAGACGTGATGCTGTGGGGGTAGGGGGTGGGAGAAAGAATACCATTACTTGGGGTCTTTCTGTGTAGGTCTAGGGGAAAAAGAAACAGCTACCTCCCTCCTCTAGAAGGAACCAAAGTTAGGGGCAGAGAGAATTCACATTTTGACCTTGTTTCCCCTTCATTTCCAGACCAGGGAAGGAAGGTGGGGAGCAGGTTGGAACAGGGTGGGCAAGGTCTCTTCTAAAGATGTTGGCCTTCTACAGGCAATCTGGAAGAAGGGTGTGATCCATCTGTGTCTCTGGATCCCTCTCCACCCTCTTATTCTTGGCTGAGCTTATTATTCCCCTTGCTGTCCCCACACCCTATGCCCTTTTCCCTGTTCCAGGGAACTTTTACCAAGAACCAACATTTTCTCCCATATCCCAATTCCCCAAGACTTTGTATGAGTCCAGAGGCTTCCTGGTTTACTGGGGGCTCTGAGCCAATGGAAGCGTGCTGGAAAAATGTAACTCCTACTTCAAGGCTCATAACTCATGGATTGGCAGCTCTGTCCACCCCTGGGGCTGGAAAACGGGCAGTGGGATGGGATCCAGGGATGAGGCCTAGGACAGGGTCAAAGAAGAAAACCATGCAAACTCATGGTTTGCATGACTCTAGAAAGACGGCAGGGGAGAAATGCTGGGAGATGAGAACCTTGGGCCTGATACTTCTATCGTTGGTAACCTAAGACACTACTGCCCCCTACTTCCTGTACCTACTGGTAGTAAAGACAGCTGTAGTGAAATAAGTACATATGGCACAGATGCCATTTGTGGAGACTGAGGATGGGGATATTTGTGGCACAGCTCTCTGGGACATAGGAGAGGAGAATGGATGCGTGTGTAGCCCTCTAGGAGAGTAAAGGGATAAGAAATGGGCAGAGAAAAACCAAAAAGAGGAGAGCTAAGGGTATGAAAACCCCAATGGTTAATTCCCCTGAACTTTGAGGTTCTGGTCCATGGCAGCTGTACCTCTGTGTAGATGGAAGGAGTGAGGTGGCACAGCAGCCTAACATCATCCTCCTGACAGGCCTTCATGTCCATCATCAGGCAGGTGTGAAGGTCACCCAGCTGTGTGGCCTGGGCAAACGACTCATAGAGGTTCATCTTCCCTGCAGCCGCTTTACTGTAAAACCAACTGGGATTGAGCCACATGACCCTTGCCAAAACCCCACCCCAGAATCGCGGCCATTTCTGATCCAGCTGGTCAGACAAGTCATCCAACGATGGCCTAGTGCACTTTCCCCTCCCTCAAAGCTTCCCCTGGCCTGCTCTCAGTCCCCTCCGAATTGGTGCCCGTGATCCTTACTGTACTGTCTCATGTCTGTGCCCAGCCTGGAAGCGAGTCCCCGCCCCCTGCATCTTATCTTCCCCAGTGCCCAGGACAGAGCTTGGACACAATCAATGAAACTGACTGACCAGGGTCAAGAGGACACAGGTCAAAGCTCTTTGGTCTTCTAGCCTCCTCCCTCCCGCCCGCCCGTCCGTCTGTCCACCATCCCATTCTAGGGCATGGCAGGGGAGAAAGTAAGACAAATAACAGGCATCTGGACTATGGGGGGGAGGTGGGGGTAAAGCCCCTTCAGGTGAGTCCTTCACCTCTCCCCCTCCACACACACACCTGGCCCTCAGGTAGTAGAGCAGGTGGTAGCCAATCTTGGGCTGTTTCTGGTAGAGCTCAGACAGAAGATCCAGGAGCAGAGAGAAGCTGCTGTTGTCCTCCTGCATCTGGCACAAGTTCCTGGTGGGGAGGGGGAGGGAGGTCTGTGGTGAGTAACCCTTACAGAGGATCTCCTGGGAGGTATTCTTCAGGGGAACATGGGAAATCCCTTCTGTCCCACTCCTTGATCCCTCCCCACAAGGATCTCACCACTCCAGTGCTGAGGCAAGAGCCCACCTGGCAAAGAAGTGTTGTGGTGGGGTGAGAGAACTACAGAGATAGCAGACAAGAGGGTCCCTAAGAACTGCAAACTTACCTAAATATTAGGTAAAGGGGCTTCCCCACGGATTCTTCCAGAGACCTAGAATGATGGGATTAGGGGTCAGAAAGGGGTGGGGAGTAAAGGAGGATTAGAATGTCCCATGTGCCCCTTCCCCAAGCCAGGTTCGGCAGATTGTGAGGAAATTTTCCCCGAGACCAGGTTTCTGGTTCCACTTCTCTCCTCCTGGAATATCACTCACCAGGATTCAAAATCTCCTGGGGAAGGGGAGAGCACTTCCCATAAGGGGACCAGTAGGGAAGAGACCATTACAGTCCTTCAAAGCAAAGATACCAGCCCCCTCCAGGGTGGGAGTCAAAGGCAGAACTACTGACGTTGGGCTCAAATGGCTGTTTTGGCCTCACCCAACAAAAACCAGGGTCCAGGAAGAATGGAATGAAATTTTGGTGTGTTTCTCCCTAAACACCATGCTGAGCACTTGATATTAATGCTTTCTGATTAACCAAATTAGATGCACAACCAACACCTTTTCCTCCCAATTCTACAGTGAGGATGCTTCTGGTAAGAGGTTCAGAGGTTCAAATGCCTCCATGTACCCACAGCGGGAAGGAATGCTGCTTGAGGACTGGCTGGCTGACTTACTCTTCAGTGACCTCCTCGGGCAGCACCTCTCCTCGGAAGTGGGCCTTGAAGAGCTCCTGGAGGCAGGAGGCCAGCACGGACAGCTGCTCTGAGTCAAAGTCTTCCTGAGGGAGAAACAAGGGAAGGCGTTGCCACAGACACAAGCCACCTCTCGCCTGCTCCACAGCCCTAGAACGATGCTAGGGGCCACTGACTCCAAAGAAGGCGGTGAAGGAACGGAGAGATATCTTGCATATAGGATGAAGGACAATTCCAGAGGATGGGCTGTGGGAGGCCTGCGAGGCTAAGAAGGGGCCTGCACTCACCCTGGAGACGGGAACTACTTACCTCCAGGACTTGGTCCACGATTTCCTGCATGACTTCACACTGGGCCTCTGTGTCACTACAGTTCAGAAACAACAGGAAACCCCAGGGACATGAGAGATGGAGGGAAGGGCCACACAGAGAAGTGCATATACACAGATGCACGCTTTCTATGAAGAAGCCGGGGCAGAGACCATGCCGCACAGTCTCCTTCAGTCCAGCATTAATCGTAAAGGTTTCTTCTCTGGAGAAACTTCATACAACGAAGATGTGACCAGTGACTAAGACCCCTAACTCCCAAATACCACTGTCCACCACGACCCCCCCCCCCCAAGCTGCCTCCCAGGCTGACCTCCCCTTCTGCAGGAGGAGCACTTTGTCCTTCAGAGACTCATCCAGCTGATCCAGGTAAGGGGTGATGTCAATCGGCTCTTCCACTACTGCCTCCTTGATGGGGTGGAAGCGAAATTCTCTCTTCTTGCCTGGTGGGGGGGAAAGTCAGCTCCTATCCTTTAAGAACCTAAGTACTAACCACAAAGGGAGAAAGGAAATCCCAGAGACAGCCACCTCCTGACTTCTATCCTGCCCATTACCTGTCCTCGCTTTAAACCCTAATCCTCTGTGATTGTCTGAGTGTTTGGAAATGATCTCCCTTCCTCCTGTCTCCCTTCTCCATTTCCAAAACAAGTATGACTGGGTCACTCTCCTGCTCAAGAAGCACCAGTGGCTCCCTCTAGCCTCCAGTTTGGCTTTTAACCCCAAACCCATCCTTCTGGTCTCACTGCACATCCCTCTCCTCACGCATCACACTCCAGCCAGACTGCCTTTGTGCTGGTCCTCACAAGTCACTTTCCATCTGGGTCTCTACCCTGGAATGAAGCCTATCCTTTCATCTGGTAGAATCCCTGGTTTCCTTTAAAGCTCCCACCAACCCCCTTCAAGATGCCTGTCCTGACGTCCCTCCTCCCCACCCCTCTGCCAATACTCTCTTCCCAGAATTTACCGTGTATCTGTCTTATACTTTGTTTTCAATGGACATATGATTTCCCTCTAATAGAATGTGAACCACTTGAGGTCAGGCTGCTATTCTCTTTTTGTCTCTCTGTTCCCAGCTCCCAGTACATAGGAGGTGCTGAACAGAAACACTCATAAAGGGCTCTGAACTCTCTGCCTGGGGGTTCTGCCTCCCCCACACTTTCTGAGTGGGAACCACCTCTCCTCTTTCTGCTGCACCTCTCCATGGGGCCCAGCACTCTTGGCACCATGGGCTCTTAGGCAATAACATGAACTCTTCGTAAGACGGGGGATAGGAGAAGAGAGTTGGCAGGGTTGCTCCTGATGACTAGTCTCTTAAGACCAAAAACTGCTAACTCCCACCTTTGCTGCTGAGGTCCTCCTCATCATCGCTGAAGGCCGCTTCGGCGTTGTCATAGCAGTTGTCATCTTTGTCTGACATGTGATTATCCATCTCCATGGAAACCGGCTCTTCAATTTTAACTTGGGGGCGGGAAACAAAAAGTACAAGTCTTTAAGGCACTCCGGGGACCTTAACGGACTCCCTGCCCTCCACAGCTCAACAGGGTGAGTAGATGGGATGGCCTGTTCTGATCAAACTGGCTGCAATTCTCCTTGAGAGACTACTTTATTTTATTGATCTCATTCGGGCCCACAGCCAGACAACACAAGTCAAAGTGGGTGACAAGAGATTTGGCCAGGAAAAAGGCAAGCATGGAACATGATACTTAGGTGTCCAGCTCAGGTTTGGCTAGGTGACTCTTAAGAGTAAGGCGGTAACGGGGGCAGCTAGGTGGCAAAATGGATAGAGCATCAACCCTGGAGTCAGGAGGACCTGAGTTCAAATCTGTCCTCACACACATAACATTCACTAGCTGTATGACTCTGCGCAAGTCAGTTAACCCCCATTGCCTGGCCAAAAAAAAAAGTAAGAAGGCAGGAAGCATGAAACAGATGAGACAGAATGGGCACGCTTCCTTAGTGTACGCCTTCACCCAAAAAGACGAGGGGCAGAGAGAACATGCCCTCTGACCAAGTCTGAGATCGTGCAGACCCTTATGTGAGGTGGCCATTCTCCTAGGTCAGGAAGGAAGAGAAAAAAGGCAAAACTGAGAAGACACTGACCCACTTCAAGCCCTAATGAGGAAAAATGTGCACACACAGTGGACAGAGGTTCAACAAGGAAAAGACAAGAGGATACAGAAACAAAGTAAACAGAAAGAAGAAATTAAAGAAAGCAAAACAGCAAGATGGAGAGAGAAGGGGGAAAGAAAGATGAATGGAAGAAGAATGATGAAGATATGGGCAAAGAACCCAATCCAAACAGAAAGCAGAGTATCTCTAGAAGAAAAATCTTGATAATCTGGCTCCCCCCACTTTTTTGGGGGAGGGGGAGGCGGGGAGAGTGCCTACAGGGGATGGCCATACCTTCCACAGGTGGGGAGGGTGAGCTGCAAAACTCAGGAAACTTCTCTCTCAACATGGCACGAAGCTCCTTATCCAGCTTAGGGTTATCAAACAGGGGAGCCAGGTGCCTGATGGGACAGGAGTGAAGACTAACAGATCAAGATGGTTCTTCATTCCCCCCCAAAAACAAACAAAAACATTCCCGAACCACACATTAAACCGTCAAGATAAAACAAGTCCATCTAGAACTTGGTGGCAATGCCTACGACCCAGGGGGGCACCCTGATAAGCAGAGGAGGAGAAGGTAGCAGGCAAAGGGCCCAGCGGTGGAGGGGAGGAAACCCTCCACTGTCTACACTTCTACAGGGTGGTGCAAGACGGCTGCAGCAGGAACGTCAGGGCTTTGGCAGCAAAGGCATGTCCTTGGCCTGCCCACAGTGTGATTCCATCCTGCTGGTGACCCGAATTGGAGAAGAGCAACTGCCCTCCCCATACCAACTCCCAAGTCTGTCACCAAGTCTCTTACGCCAGGACCCGCTTCTCCACAATGTGATTGAGAGAAGAGAAGACACCCTGTCGAACATGGCCTTCCAGTGGGGGATAGAAGTTGGGAATGATCTAGTTGAAAGAACAGAGTGGAAAGAACTTAAGCACACGACTGTCACGGATCCTCTTCCAATTCTGCCCTATGCCCCCAAGAGAATGGGACAGAGGACCCAGGATTCCCTGTGTTTTAGGGGCAGCTCTTGCTGATCCAGATTTCACAAGTTTTGACTTCCAGGATTAATGGGGAATATGGCTGTGGGAAGCAAAGGAGTCTTCTGGTCAAGCTGCCAGCTACTAAGCAGCCAGAATGGGGAAGCTCCCATTTAGAGTCAACTTGGGGTGGGCCTGCCGAAGGAGCTCTGTCCTCAGCCTCTTCAACCTGGGGTTGAGAAAAGCCAACTGGGAAGCTAGGACATGAGGATATTTGTTTGAGGAGTTCAGGTTTGGGGAGAGGGCTCAGTCATCCTGGGAAGAAAACCCCAGAGCCCCTCCTTGTCTGAGAGCTAAGGGGGCCCTGGGAGAGAAAGGATCAGAAAGGCGAGAATGTTCTTTCTCTGTCTTATGGAATGGGGAAGAGTGGAGAACGCCTTCCTTACCCGGCACATGAAGTCCAGGAGTGTGGCAGTGATGGCTGGGTGGGGCTTCATGGAGTGATGCATGACCAGAATGGCTGGTTCTAGAGTCAGGGGGAAGAAAGGGTCCCAACCCCACAGCCCCCAGTCAGTGCCTGCTCTCTCCCCGAGAAGAGAGAGCAATAAATTTCTCAAACTAAAGCCCACCAATGGAGAAACTGAAGTTTGACAAAGGCAGGTCCCAAGACCCCCCCAGTTCCTCAAACTTCACCCCAGTTCCCTCCCCCTCTTCCTAGCATATGAGTTGAAAAGGGGTAGGATGGGAGCAGGAAACTCATTTTTGGCTCAACGTCTGAGGTCCAAGGCTGTTTTGGAGAGATGGAGGAGGGAGGAAGGCAGGGCATGACAATTCACCTGGATTGAAGGCATTCACAATGGGTCAAAGGAGAGTTGATAAGGGACAAAGAACTGCAACTGTTTTTTGATAAGCTGTCTGTTCTCCTTCCCAATTCCCCAACACATGCTAAGATAACACGGCACATACCTATGTTCATGATGCTGTCCTTGTCTGGACTAAAGAAGAGCCAGTCGTAAAACAGAGCCAGTTTGGCATTGGAGGCTGCAACATTGGACTGGAGGAGAGAATGGGGGGGAAGCCTGACTCCCTCTTCTCCCCACCTCCAGAAGTAACAGGATGTCTAGGATGGCCCAGATTCCATGACATGAGGAAACAGAAGAGAGCCCCTGCACATATGTGTGTGGACACATGAGTAGTAATGCATGGGTGTCTGTGGACCTACTGTCCTTGGGATCTCCATGCCTCAGGGAGCTGAGGACCGTGTACCAAAGACCAAGCTCACCCAACCCCCTGATTCTCCAGCAGAGCCTCAGCAGTGAAAGGAGGTGCAGCTGGACCTCAGAGCTCCCCCTGGGCTGTGTGCACACTCTGTGTTCCCTCAATGGATTCTCCCAGTCACCTGCTACATCTCCAAGCCTCCTGCTCCCAAGGTGGGGCTATTCTGGGGGGAGGCTTGACCAAGAGAAGTGACCACTCTCAAGAAAGAAGTGGAGAAGTCTTGTCAAAAAGGGTCAGTGTGGTTGGGAGAGCAGCAATAAGACCAGCATGATCCTATCCTTATAGCAAGAGACTCAGGGAGGAAGCTGGGAAGGAGGTGACCCCCATTAGGGACAGCCTGTGCTTGGGGAGAGGAAGGGAGAGGAAAGCAGAGATGACAACAGGTGCTAAGGCTCTAGAGTCTGGAGAAGGGGACTTCTATAGCGGATACAGGAAGAAGCCTTAGGAAACAAGCACAAAGTAAAAAAATCCGGAGGGACTGTGGGATAATGACTGCAGGGGAAGCTAGGACATTCTACTCCCAAAGGTATCTGAAAAGGATGAAGGCAAGCAAACGTTCAGAGTGACAGAGGGTATAAAACCTGGGTGTAAAAGACTGACGGATCAGAGACAGAGGAAGGAACAACAGGATGACAGAGACAACCTGAGAAATGTGGGACAGGGTCAAAGGACAAGGAGGAAGAATTTGGGGGGATTGCAGAGAAGTAGGTTACGACTAGGAGACAGAGTGTGAAGAAAACCAACGGACAGAGGAAGGGTCAAAGGAACCAAGACTGACACACAAGGCTTAAAAAGCCACGGGATACTCTGGCCAATAAGCTGAGGACCCTGGGACACCCCCCACCCCACCCCTGTCACCGACCTTGGCCATCCCACACCAATCCCAGCCCCCTGCAAGCTCCTCACCGTGCACGTGGTCAGGAGCCAGCCAATGATAGCCCAACGAGGCAAAATATCTGAGCTCAGCACCTCATTGGATGGGTGGACCACACCACAGATGTAGCGAATCAGATCACAGCGCAGGGACTGACTGTCTGGGGTGGACAGATACTGCCGCTGGAACCAATCCTGGTATCGCTTCTGTTGGCCAAACCGTACCTAGGGAGGGAGAAGAGGAAACTGGGGTAAGGATGAGCAGACCAAGTCAGGATATGCTCAGGGCCTGCTCCAAATTTTCAGCTATCTTTCACAACTTTCTAATTCATCAAACTGTTCCTGAAATCTTTCCTCCTTTTGAGACTAATGAGTTATACATTGAAGGGTTCTCTAGTTTCATGTAAATGCCAACGATATACTTATGCTTCCTTCCTTGCCTTCCATCTGACACTTCATTTATTACTTATTATGATGCAGGCACCATGAAGAAGCACTGTTTGCGCAGCACAGAGCAGAACAAAAATCACTGGAGTCAGTCTTTTGAGTCCTATCTCTGTCTCTGTGGTGGGACTGGAAATACCAGATGAAGATCAAGTGAGGGGCAACACTCGGAAGGGAGGTCAGGATGCTGTTTTCAAGCAGCTATAGGACTGCCGTAGGCAGCTCTGCTGGGCCCCAGGGGAAAGAACCAGGGGCTTTAATGAGGAAGACTTGGGAGCCCCAGCAAGGACTCCTGTTTGCCTTCCAATTCAGATTTTGTGGCTAATCTTGGGAAAGTGACAGAACTTTTCTGGGCCTCAGTTCTCTCATTTGTAAAATGAGGATAAGAGTATTTGCACTATCTACCTCCCACAATACTGGTGAGGATCAAATGAAATCATGGATGTGAGAAGCTTTGCAATTATAAAGTGCTCTAGAATCGTCAGTGCTTATTACATTGCCCGAGGCATCCACTTAACACTCGGCTATCTTTTCTTTATGACTTCTGCTTCTCCTTTGTCACAAAGGTCACTTTCTTTGATTTGCCTGTGTCAACACTGAACATACTAAGGGGTCCCAGGGGGCATGTGCAACGGTAGCCAAGATTTCTTCTTATTCCGTGTTGGGCTGTCTGGGTGAGGATGTACAATGTTCAAATATTTGTGGCATCCTCCAAGTGATGGGTAAACCCATCAATCACCCCCAACACCTTACACCCTAAATGGTGCATAAAACCCAAAAAGTTCTCTCTTCTTCTTGCTCCTATCCGTAGGGGAAAAGGGTCCCCAAAAAGAAAGTAGAATGGAGGAAGGGAAGGGAAAGTAGGTCTGTGGATGGCTTCAATCACTGGCATTGGCTACATTTCTGTGGAATTCCTCTTGAGAATTCACAATCATTCAGGCAATCCAAAAGGCCCCAGTAAGAGGCCTTGCCACCTCTTCCCCAGGTGACCCCTCCCCCTCTAGCCAGGATCTCTGTGCCCTGAATTCCAGGCCATGCCAGAGCTTGATGGCTGCCCCACAGAAGAGGGTAGGAAGGGCCAGGGCCTCTTCCAGAACACTTCAATGTACCCGGGATGTCATGAAGAGGAGTTTGGTCTCCATGTCCGGGGTGAGGCGGCAAGCCAGGAACTTTCTGGATGTTCTTGACTGGAGGAGCTGGAGGATGCCTGCACCAAGAGAGGCAAACACATATGTGAGGGCCAAAGGCAATGGAAGGAAAACTGGTTTGTCTGGGCCAGGGCCCCAGAGCAAGCAGCCCTGCTGTTAAGGAAGATGTGGGCTGGAGAAGGGACCGAGTAAGCACTTTGTGCTCCCTTCCAAGGATACTCCTCCTGTCACTAAGCTAATGCTGTCTTCGGGTGAAGCAAAGTCAGCACATTCCACAGGGCCAAGCAAAGTGTCAACTCCAAGTGAGAAGAATGGAGTGTGGGGGGTGGAGGAGGGAGGTCAGGAACCTGTATCTGGGGGGAGCTTGGCTAACATCTACGTATCACCACGCACTGGAAGAAAACTTCCCCAAACACACAGTAGCACTTTTTCTCTCCAGCCCTTCTGTAGCCCAGTCTGAGGCCTTGTGGGTAGGTCAGAGATCAGACAACTCCATCTTTCCTCTTGGAGGGTCAGCTCCCAGTGCAGGTCTAACAGCACTGGGCATTTAGGATTAAGGATTTATTTAGCCTGCAGTGGTGCTCCTGTCTCTTATGATTTCCTAGGTCTCAGAATGCTGGCCTAATATAAGAGAGGGGAGAAGGAAATTATCAACTAAAGTCCAAGTCCTATTTTGGCTTTTTCTATTGCTCAGGGAGTAAACTGGGATCCTGGAGACTGGAAGGTCCCCCTGGAAGGGGACAAGGCTAGGTCCATGCCTGATCTGGGAGAAGCAAACAGAGTCTCTTCCTTCCCCAAAGACACTGCTGGGCAGGCTGGGCCCCTGAGACTGGAGACAACATTGCTGAAAGTGAGGGGGCCTCCTCCCCTTGAAGGCCTTGCCAAGACAAGCCCCTCCACTGACTCAGCCTCACGTGCTGACCTCCAAACTTCCCTGTCGGCCAGAGAAGGAATCTGGGAACAAGCCAGCAGCTCACCACCCGAGCCAAAGACTTGCTGGGAAAGTAGTAATCGCAGTTCTCTGCCCTACCTTTTTCCCTTGACAAAATCAGCAATCAGTACCTCCAGAGCCTTCGATTAGGAAAAGTGTCACTCCCTGCTCTGTTCTCCCTCTTTTGGGGCTCTACAACTTGGCTGGGCTTCAACAGAGACTTGCTTGTCCTGAGTTACTCAGCCGCCTGTCAGGGCTCTCCCATCCATCAACCTCACTGCTTCTCTACCCCAACTTCTCTATTCTCACTGATGGATTCCTTAACCTCTCCATCTTCCCCAATTGCTATTTACCTGTGAACTGGGGGCTCAAGGCTTGAGGGTTATGAACAATGTCTTTCCATAGCAGCTCAAACTCTGGTATCCTAGCAACATTCTGCAGGAGGCGCACCAGGTCCCGGCCAATCATGAAGCAGTCCATGAACTTGGGGGAAAGGGAAAAGGGGTGGGGGAGAGAGCACAGATTGTTTACCTGCTAGAGGGAAGAAGGAACAGTGTGTTCCAGTGAGGGAAAGAGTAGGGGAGGGTAGTAAAGTTGGGTGATTCCCACTGGTCCCTGGATCTTGATTTCTGAACTATTCTATGGAAGAGAGCAGGGGTTGAGATTGAGGCTCAGAGGTCTTTGGCTATGAAAAAGTCCTTCCCAGCTTTTGCTGAGGACAGACTCCCCATTAAATACACCCTGACAGCACCAGCTCCCTCTCCCTTTTCCCTGTAGATGGGGTGAGGGCTAGGGAGAGAGGAGGTGTGGGTCTGCCTCTGTGTGCAGAGACCTTCCCTCAGGCCGGCAGCTCTCTCTTACCCGCTCCCGAAGCAGTGAGATGCAGAAATCCACCTCCTTTTGTCGAAGAGCCTGAAGCTGGGCTGTACTATGGTGGTCTACAATGAGCCTCAGGTAGGTATACACCGCCATGGCAATAAGAATGCTGCTCTTCAGCACCCACTCTCTGCAGGAAGGCAGGAAGGCAGGGAGGACAATGGTACTTCTGCTCGGTCCAGATCTGCCCACACTCCTGAATACAGTTCGAGTATGGCAGGTTTGCTTCTAAGATGTTCCCCTGAATCAGCACTGCCAGGCATTTTCACAACTCCCTATACACAGTGACCAGGGCTTCCTAACTCATTCTGTCTGGTACCCAATGAAGAGAAGTGCTGGATGAAAACTAGGTCTCCTTGGCCCATAACTATTATTTTATAGTTGATTATATGTTGCTTTCTAAGTTGTTTTCATGCCTCCCAAACTAGATTACAAGTTTCTCAAGGGCCAAGACTGTGTCTCCTCCCCACCCCATTATATTTTTCTAGTCAGGCCTTCTATTCGTGGCTGATATTGCTGCTGAGGGTAAGAATGGAGGCACCTGAGGTATGAGTGTAGGGAGGATAGAGGAACAGTCCTTCAGGGGGATGTTAGCCGTATGAGGTGCTCCTGTGATCCTTTCCACAGAATATCAAGCTTGAAGGCTCAGACACCTCCCCTACTCTGCTTGGGGTTAGGCTACTCTGATGCTTAGAAGCTAAAAGCAGAAAGAATCCAGAGCAAAGTAGTTCGGGGTGAAACAAAGACACTGTTAAGCCCATTTAGAGATCCCCCTGATTCCCTCCATAACACGGTGGCTAAAATAAACTACTACGAGGACAAGCTACAGTGGCCACTGGGCCCCTCAGCTGTGCCCCGTGTTCCTGCAACATACCATGCCAGTCTGGTGCCCCCATCCATCATCCCTATGTCGAGCACTGCTTGCTCTAAATCAGACAGGCCATCGATCCCATCCCCCCAGACAGTGAGTGAGTCACTTGCCCTAAATCACCGGCTGAGAAGAGGAACATGATCTTGGTGGCCAAGCCCCACTTTCCCAGGAGTCAGGGCATTTCCCTGGGGAGAAGGGGTGATGAAAGAGTTGGCTGTTTGCTGGTATACTGAGGAGAGTTGGGAGAAAGGGAGGACAGAGAGGCCAGACAGACCATTTTAAGGTCCTTCTAACTCCTATTAACTGCTTACTGAAGTTTCTCAGGGTGGGACCTTGGCTCCTGACTCTTAAATCGCGATACAAGAAAATGGAAAAAGATCTAGTGACCCTGTCAGAAAACAGGACAAAGAGGAACTTAATTCAGTCAAGCAACATCCTGACAGCAGAGAACTATATTGGAACTGCTTCCTGAAGACGAATATAAGCAGCAGCAAATGACACCAGAATAACTGCTCCTCATAACTGTCACCTTTGACACTGTAGCCTCAACAAGTCTTGGAAGGGAAATAGGGAGGGTGAAAATGCTGGAGGATGGTCTGATGTTTTTATGTCCACTCTGTGATCTACACAATTAATTTAAGGGCCAAGCCCACCAGAGAGGAAAGTCTACTAGACCAGAACCCAAGACACCAACAGCCACCACACAGAAGGGGAGAGGAGAGACCCAGACAAGAGTGAGGCTCAAGAGAGAATCTGCCACAGAGTCTCCAGCACCCAGGGCTCCTCTCTGTGGCCCAAGGTGCCTGCTGCACCGAGTCTGGGCACTAGGTGGCACTGCACCGCAGGCTGAGGCAGGCAGCCATGCCTAGGAAGAACCTGTGGACTATTAGAGAAGCTGCTTAAAGTCTCCCTGTTAATGAGCTCCCAGCATTACTGCAGGAGCCTCGAAGAACGAACACACAAAGAAAGGAGGATTTAAAAGGCATCTGTCTTTCCAGTTTCCACCTTTTAATCCTTCGCTATCATGGCTTCCACACACAGCTCAGGAAGCTGACCTCTGACCCCAGGACTTGAGACCGGTGTATGAATAAAAGGGGTCAGCAACAAGGTCAAACACCCATGTTTCTGGCCCTCCACTTGTGGGAGAAAAGCAATGGCCAGAAAGCCCAGAGTGCTCCTGGGCTTCCTCCTGACAAGGTCTTCACTAAATCCTCTGGGATCTGGACCCTTCCAAACAAGCAGAAGAAAAGGGACTAGACAGAAAACGACTCCCAGAGAAGCAAACTCCTACTACCAACACAAGTCAGCACCTTCTCTGTGACTTATAGTCATCAAGGGTGGCCTAAAGCACCGCCAGGGTAGGTGACAGAGACAGTCTTCCTGGAGCTTCATCCGCTACTTCACAGCAGCTTTACAAACAGTTCTGCAAAAACAGCTTTTGTCTCTGGGCAGGTGAGGGGGCTCAGACAGGGGCTCTCTTTTATTCCCTAACTATGACCATGGGGCTGACAGCCGAGGTGGGGAGCAGGCTCGGTACCTGCCAGGCCTGGGTGCCATGGCTGGCACCCAGCTGAACTCCCTCCCCCTCCCACCTAAAGACAAACATTCCAAGGAGGTCTGGATCAAAAATAAACCCTTATCAGATTAAACTGATTTTCTCTAGGCTTAGGGGTATTTTGGCAAGGACGCTGCTCCCTTGGACCCTGCTGCTAGCCCCATCAATTACTGCCCTTCATACCCAGAAGGCTTCTTGCTCTCTCCTTTTTCTCTAGCTCATCTTAATCCTAAAAGTTTCTATCCCCTCAGCCTCCTCAGTTAAGGAAGCTACAAGTTCCCCCTGCCCACGCCCAGCACCACACCCAGTGTGCAGCCCACCCCTCTCAGGCCAGACCCTACCTCTGCTCTGTCAGGATCTCCAGAACACTTTCTGCCAGCCAAATGTTTTTTGCAGTCACATCTCCACCTGACCCCAAAGGAGAGAGAAAATGGAGAATCAGAATAGGACCAAACATTGAGACTATGCTAACATGATTTCCTTTACCTCTTCCTCTGGATCCCCAAATTCCCATCCTACAACTTCCTTCCCAAGTGCTGGAATTAAGATGTTCTGTTCTCCCTGTGCTCTGACTAGCCTGAGACTATCAACCAAGGAGGGACCCGGATTTTCCTGGAAGCCACAGACTTTCCTATTCAGCATAGAATGGAACAGACTCAGCGGCTGGAGACTGGGTGAGGGTGGAGGTGAACAGGTTGGCTCACGCACAAACAGGACAGCAGAGGTAGGTTGTTCCAGCTGCAGATGTCCCGAGGCCTGTGTCCAGCCTCGCTGCAGGCTATGACGTGTCTCTTTCTACCATGGTTTCTAATGTCCCTTCCAGTTGGTGTCACTTCCATTTCTTGGGGCAAGATGAGCATGCAGAAAAGCCAGGCTAAAATCCTGAAGCTGAGATGGGCAGATTGAGGGTCCCAAGAAAGGAAATGGTGCCAGGAGATAGGACACCACCACAATGGTATCACAGGGCCCCCTCCCAAAAAAAAAGCATTGAATGTTCAAAAAGTTTTTTGCTGACACAAGTTAAGGTATCTAGAAAACACCCAAAGTATTCAGCAGAAGAGCCTGCATGGGAAGCACGTAAGTCAAAATGGGAAAATGACAGGATCATCTCCAAGTGTAACTCTAGACACCTCGCCTGTGCATGCATCCTAGGGGATCTGGGTGAATGGCAAAGGCAGACCTTTTCAACCACAGTGCCTACGTGGTTTGCTGGGACAGATGGCACAGATGCTGACAACAATATATAAACCTAAATGTCAAGGTCTGTTTTGTGCCATGGAGACATGGTGTGTTCCTTTGTTGGCCAGCCCCCATCAGACGTCACAACTGATAGGCAAGAGGGACAGGAATATGAGGGAGGAGTTCGGCTAGTGGTGGGAATACTGAAAGCATGGTCATCATTCCCCAGCTCTCCCTATTTTCCTGGTCTTGGCTACCAAGAAACCCTGGTGTAATGGTTGACTTGAGTGGACAAGAAGTCTCCTTTTGGGCCCCAAACAAGGCAGAGGAAGGGAAACTGGGGAAGAAGTAGAGGCTCCCCTGAGATTTTAAACCAGCCCCTTATTGTTGTCTAGTTCCAAAGAGATGCCTGTAATCACATGGAAGGAGGCTAATGATTCCTCAATCACTCCCACCCCCTCACTTTCCTGAACTTTTCCCACCCTCTTTCTCCTTCCAGTCCCCCACAGACTCACCTGCAATCTGCTTCATGAATGTCATGCAGACACCATCAGCTCCTAGAACCCCACTTTTCACCAATTCCCGGACCAACCACACCAACTACAAGAAAAATAAAATGATCACTGGAGGGTGGAACCTGAAAAGATGGAACAAGGCTGATCTTGAGGCAGATCAGCACTCAGGCACACTGAGACAAGGGCTGTGCCCTCTCAACTTCTTCCCCAGGTCCCTCCAAAGGCCCCTCTCACCTCTCTCTTTCTGGCTTCCCACTCCCCCTCAGCCTCACCTGGGTACGGCAGGTATCTTGCAGCTTCAAATACTTCTCCATAAGGATCTGATTGATCTTGTTGAGGACGATGTTCATGCCATCCCGACTAACTAGGGCCAAATCTCGGTAACACTGTGAAGTGAGGGACAGGGTGAAGGGTGGTGGGGGGATCAGACAAGCAGAGGGCAAGCCCTTCATTTTCCAGAGCCTCCCCGATCTCCACCAGGTGCCCACAAAGGCTCCAAAAGGTGCCCATTCCAGAGTTTCCCTTTTGTGCTTATTCCCTGCTTTTTCATATAGGGTAGTGGATGGAGCCATTGACTTAATAAGGTTCCACTGGAGAACAGGACATGAACTGGCCACTAAGAGGGCAGGAAAGCTTGCTGCATCGCACTCATTTCTGCCCCTCACCAATCTTTTCAGGAAGTGCCGCACTGCTGGTGAGCAAAGCCAGGCAGGGTTCACCTGCTTTTCATCTGCTGCTCAAAGGTCACAGTGGAACCGTATGATGCTCTGGGCACAAACAAGATCCTAATGAAGATTTCTAGAATTGAGCCAACTTGGCCAAATACAGAAAGTTCTGGGAGACGGACAGAGACGGGCCACTGGGACAGGAGACAGAGCATCACCCGTGTCAGTGACATGATCCATGTTTAACTATTGACCTTCTCCATCTACCTGGTCTTTGGGGGAAAAGATCCCAGAATAGGCCACTACTTAACGACTAGAGAGGGGAGTATGCCAGTGTCAGATCCACTCTCAGTTATAATCTCAAGAGGGTGTGTGTCACGATTCCCGGGGCTCTCTATTCATCATCTCTTCTCTGCTTGATGAGTGCTACCTGTAGAAATGTCCAGCAGAGAACCTCCCGTGTAGGGCTGGAGCTCCTAGTCTTCTGAGGGGCACAGGGGCTCTGTTTTTTTGTTAGCAGGCCAGTACGAGATAAGCTTACTGGTGGATACAACACCAGTTTCCCAGCTAGTTGAAGAAAGGCTACCAAGATTAGGCAGGGAAGGAAAAGAAGGTGCTGATAACATGCACTTTGCAAACCTTCAAGTGCTATATTATTATATATGGGGTTGAGAGGTAGAGGAGAAGGTACATGGAAAAGGGAAGAGTATTTTGAATGAATTTTTAGCCACCATGGTTTCCAAACCCTTTGTCTGCTACAAGCCCTCCCCACCATCTCAAAGTCTGGCTGCTCCATTCAGCTTTCTCAGAGGAAACTGGAGGCTCGTCAATTAACTCCATCCTATTGTTGCAGTCCTTTGTTATTCATCCCTGCCACAGCTGAACTGAGCAAATATGAGATACTTGGGGATCCCCAGATTTCTTCTGTCCCTGACCCTTGCTTCAGTCACTCAGAGTAAATAGCAAATGATCTGAGAAAATACCAGACACTCAGAGATCCTTAAATTTCTTCTGTATCATGACCCTTTCCTACTCTAAGTCTGATTTTTCCTTGCCCCTGTGTAGAACAGGAGAATGGGGAGTCTATGGCTGCAAACAAGGCAACAAAGATGTTAAAGGGTACCATGAGGCAACTGCTGCCAAGCTACAAATATCTGAGGAACCATCTCAGTGCTATGTGCCACAAGCAAGACAGTGAACATGTGAGGAGGCTGAGAGAGGGCAAGCAGCAGCCTGGCTGGAGACAGAGATGCTCTCGCCCAGAGATCGAGCCCTGTTCTGTCCAACTAAGAGTGAAAACTTACTTTCAATTGATACTGAATACAAAGCACCCTCAAGCCAGGGAGGCGGATGTTAGGGGTGGGAGATGGGTTCTTGTCAAAGGTTTCAGAGGACAGATCCATGCTGCTCTGAGCATTCCGCCTCAGCAGAAGGTATAGGCTTCTATACTTTCAACTATAACCACTGGTACCAAATGGCAACTGGTTAGGATGACTGTCCCATTCTTCACGTTGTTAGTCACCCTGACAAACTGTGTGCCAGACTGGCCTGGGAGAGGAGTAGGCAGGCAAAAAGGAGGAAGAACAGGGAGCTTGAAGAGAAAGGTGCCAGGGGGCATGAAGAGTACAGGTGTGATTGACACAGGGGATGAGTTTGGCCCTGTGCCCTGACAGCTCCAGACAAGAGACAAGAAGCTGTCCCACAGATGCTAGCCTCTACCCAATGCCCAAGAGTCCCCCCGAGAACCCTGCTACCTTAGAGATGCCTTCATCAAACTCGAGTACCAGTAGAGAATCTCAGGAGATAGCCGGACACCACCCCCTCTATCAACATCAAGAGTTCCTGAATCCTAGCAACATCTACCACTATATTTGATTAAAGGAGGATAGAGGGCGAGAAACAGACCCATAGGGTATAAAACAGGGGTGGGGAACCTGTAGCCTCGAGGCCTTCTAGGTCCTTGGGTGTGGCCTTTTGACTGAGTCCAAGTTTTACAGAACAAATACTTTTATTAAGCAGACTTGTTCGGTGAAGTTTGGATTCAGTCAAAGGGCCAAACTTGAGAACCTAGAGGGCCACATGTGGCCTTGAGGCAGCTAAATGGCACAGTGGATACAGTGCAGGACCTGGAGGGAAGCGAATCCCCAAGTATTTATTAAGCAAGGAACTGTGCTAAGCACTTCACAAATTTCACATTTGGTCCTCACAATAACCCTGAAAAGTACATGCTATTTATTATCCTCATTTTGCAGATGAACAAACTTCAGCAGACAGTGATTAAGTGACCTACCCAAGGATCAAACAGATAATATCTGAGGCACAGTTTGAACTCAGACCTTCCTGACTCTAGCCTGACTGCTCTATCCACTTCACCAGCTAGCTGCCTTTGTGGAGTCAGGAAGGCCTGCATTCAAATCCAGCCTCATATACTTACTGGCTGTATGTTCCTGGGCAGGTGTCGCTTAATCACTGTCTACCTCAGTTTCCTCATCTGCAAAATGGGGATAATAATAGCATCTGTCTTCAAGGGGTGATGTGAGCATAAAACAAGATGTTTATAAAGCACTCTGCAAACCTTCAAGTGCTATATATTATTATTATTAGTGACTGCTAAGGGGGCAATTTCAAATTCAGAGTGCTAAATACCTAAAATCTACCTCATTCCTTTTTTTTTTTTTTTTTAAATCACTGCTGTCTCTTTTCCTTCTATAAATGCCACCACTGAAGGCAAATACCTCTCCGGCCTCAATTCAAACCTAGCTAGCTGCACATCCTGCAGGGTCAGCCTCAGGGCCTCATGACTTCTGCCTGCCAGCAATGACCAGGGCCTATTCAGTTCCTCACTTTCTTGGAGCAGGTTTCTAATAAATTCAAGATTCAGTCTCCTCTGACACCATCCCACCAAGTCTCCAGCCAATGAAGACTCACAGAACAGATTCTTAAATCAGTTCTGAGGTTTCACTGACGTTCCAAAGGCAGAGTTAAGTCCAAATAAGCCCTTGGAAAACAGCCCCTCAGCTCTCTAATGAGCAGCCCAACACCATTATTTTCATTTAAGCAACATTCCCCACTCCGTGGCCCTGCAGAAGAAAAACAACAACAAACAACCTAGGGTAGGAGGATGAGACATTTCAAAAAAAAAAAATGGTCACCCTTTCTGGGGAAAGACTAGAGCCCAAGGGAAATGAGATGCTGACTTTTCAACCAAACCCTGATGTGGCTCAAGGTCCCTAATGAGTCACCCTGTCTTCCGGCACCCCTCCCTCAGCCCTGCCTATGTTTTTTTCACTCCCCTAAAGATTCCTCTCCAACTGGCCTTCAGTTTCCACCTCCCTGTGTCCAAGAGGTCAGATCTGAGGCTGGGCTTGGTGACTGGATCAGGGTGTTTGCTTCAGCAGCACACATACTAAAATTGAAACGATACGGAGAAGATTAGAGAGACTGAATCAGGACAGAGGGCTCTCAGCTAAAAAGCCCTGGTTTCAGAGTTTGAATCCTGGTCCTGTTGCCAACCTACTGTCCAACCTGGAGTTCCATATGCCTCATCACTCTGAGGCTTTGTTTCTTTATGTGTGCCATGGAAACAGGGCTCCTTTTGAAAGGATAGGAGACATGCCGGTCTCCTGGGAAAGCTGGAGCACCAGATAAGCATTTGCAGTGCCAGCTCTGCATGCTCCAATGTGCCAGGGCCAGCCAGAAAAGCTGAGAGCACTACCATCAGCAAGCCTTATTTATTTGCAATTACCTGGTATGATTCACATCTCAGCTTTGAAAAAATTATTCACTTTCCAACAGGCAAAAACTAATTGCATAAGTAACTAAATTAGATGTCAACTGCAATTTTAAAAAACACAACAGAAACCCAGACCTTAATCCCATCTCTACTACATCTCAACTGTGCTCACCCCCATCTTCTAGCTTGCTAGCAAGGATTAAAATGAGAGGGACTTGACTAGATCATGGTGTGGCTTGTGAACACCAAGCCGAGCTCACTTGCTCGTCTGTAGCACTCCAGATGACATATCTAGGATTGAAATGAAATGGCAATTTGCCTCAATAAGGTCCAAGCCACAGGGCAGCCTGGCCAGGCCTGGGAACTCAAAGGAAGCCTAGCATTGAACAAGACCTGACTTCAGCAGACATCTCTGCTGAATATAATGCAAACACATCTGTTTCTTCTCCCCACCTTCGGGCTCTCTACTCAGATCTGTGGGGTCCACAGACACCTTGCCCTTGATCCAAAGAGGTAGGTGGCACACTGGGTAGAGTGCTAGACTTGGGGTCAGGAAGATCTGAATTCAAATCCTGCCTCAGACACTTGCTTAACTGTGTGACCCTGAGCAAGTCACTTAACTTTTCTCAGCCTCAGTTTCCCTGTCTGTAAAATGGGCTTAATAATATTACCTGCCTTAGAGTCATTGTGAGGATCAAATGAGATAACATGTAAAGTTTTGCAAACATTAAAGTGCTATATAAACGCTATCTATTATTGTTTTCCTTTGGTTCTTGCTCTGGGAAGAGCCAAGGATGATGAGGAGAGGAAACCACTGAACTCCCCCATTCCAAATTCTTTTTTGCTGATTGCTGTTCAGTCATTTCAGTCCCATCTGACTTTTTATGACCCCTTTCCCTTTTAGGGTTTTCTTAGCAAAGATACTGGAGTGATTTGCATTTTCCTTCTCCAGCTCATTTTACAGATGAGGAAATTAAGGCAAACGGTGAAATGACTTGCCCAGGGTCACATAGCTAGTAAGTGCTCGAGGCTGGATTTGAACTCAGGTCTTCCTGACTCCAGGCCAGGAGCTCTAACCACTGTGCCACCTACCTGCCCCACCTTTTTTTTTTGTATTTTTTTTTTGGGGGGTATGTAAAACTCCAGAGAACACAGGCAGAAAGAGAGATATTAGGAAGGAGAAGATGATATTTCACTGGAAAATTACAGGTCTGAGGCATTCTGAAGGGTCAGTTTTATTCGGTCTATTTACATGCCTCCCAAGGACTCCACTTAAGCCACCCCAAAGAGATGAGAATCTTAGCTTATAAAGAGCTTCAGAAGCAGTTCAATGTGCTTCCTCAATGGGCCTACATTGTTCTGATGGCTCATCTAAACCCTGCCATGCTGCAACTGAAGCATGTTTTATCGTCAACTGCCTTGGGGAGAGACTGAATCTCTCCTTTGTGTAAGAACCTGACCTGACTTAGCAACTCTGACTGAGTTTCTGCTTGGCTTTCTCTGCCCAGAATAATCCCAGTTTTATCTTTCCTCATGGTTCCTGATTTTCCCACCCTCTTACTACCTTTTGGCTTATCTGCACTGGAGTCTGGAGCTAGGTATGGGACCCTAGGCAGAGGCTAACCAATAATGAGAATAACAGAATGATTGCACTTAGAAAATGAGGCGATGGTAGGGAGAAGGTAATGAACAACCAAATAAGGTAGAAAGATAAGAGGCTGAGAGAGAGAAAAAAAAAAGCTTTACCTACTTTCTCCCCCTTGCCCACCTGCCACAGAGCTATCCACAAAGCAGGAGACTACCCAGCCTATCTGTCAAGTAAGCTCCACAGGTCAAGATCACATCTGGAAACAACAGAATTGTGGGTGGGAATATTACCTTCTGAGCTTGGCTGGGTTCTGTAAGAACAAGGGTAAAGAGTCCTAGGCAGATCTCTTCATGCTGGGGAGGACCTTTGCACACCTGGATGTGAGGAAAGAAGGAACAGCTGTCAGTCACAGGCCAGTCAATTTTAGAAACAAATCCTCCCAGAAACCTTGAGACTCCTGGAGAACTTGAGAGGAGAAATCTCTCTCTAAGTTGGATGCAGAACTCTCCCCTCCAGTCTGTGTGGATGTAAATCATAGATCAGTAATAGGAAGAACGGAGCACCCTTTCTGAGTGAGGTTGTGAGCCTTGTCTGTCTGTCTTTCTTTCTTTTTGTTTTTAGGCAATTGGGGTTGAGTGACTTGCCCAGAGTCACACAGTTAATGAGTGCTGTGTATCTGAGACTGGATTTGAACTCCAGGGCTGGTGCTCTATCCACTTCACCACCTAGCTGTCCCCTTGTCTTGCTTTCTCAGGGGAAAGTAGGGAAGGTCCTACTACTTTCCCCAAGAGGAGGTGTAGGCCAGCTCGGTATTACTTGGGGCTGGGAGAAGTGTTTAGAATGAATAAATGATGTCACTATCTCTGATCTACACACTGACGCCCCTCAGTGCAACATGGAGCTAGGGAAAGATAGGTAGAATAGTGCAAAGAGGACTGAAGGAGATAAGATTTGGGTCTTCTGTCACAACAAACAGAATCTGAGCAAATCATTTAGCCTTCTGGGTCTGCTTCTTTATCCCATAAAATGTGGATAATATCTGCTTCACCCCAGAGGTGCTGGAGGCTCAAATGAGATAATGTATGTTTTGATAAACAGGACAAACACTATACAAATGTGAAGTAGCATCATATTAGTCAAAGAAATGTAGGGGCCCTCCTAGGAACTGAATCCAGCATGTGACTGAAAGAGGGTTTGAACTTGTCACCCAATTCAACAGCTTGTCAGCTGTTCCATGTTTTTGGTCCTATTTCCTAACAAGCACAGGTCCAAGGGAGAAAATAGCTAATGGACTCACATGGGCGTTGAGGGCATCATTGGCCTCTCTCTCGGAGACACCACCGGTCATTGATGTCACAATACTCATGCACCTTTCCAAACGCTGCAGAGAGGTGAAGGAAAACAGAGTAAGGGTATGAAAAAATGTATTGAGGGAACACAATATACCAAACCAAAACCACAAGGGGTTCTGCCTAGACCCACACATAGAGACTCTACTCTGTAGCAAATCTTAACATGCAGTTGGCCATTGTTCCTTGACCTTGAAAAGCTTTGATTTTTCTACCACAGCTAATAACAACAAACTTCAGTAAATACAGCATAGATTCAAAGTCAAGTCCAGGAACTTTGCCTCTCCCACCACCCTAATCATTTTGAGCCCTTTTGTCCTTGCCTTGGAAATTAACCCCAAATCTGTCTGAGGATAGTTTTTCACTGCTTGTCCTATCATTGCTAGAAGGGGGTGAAACCCAAAGGGAACAGGGCAGGAAGAAGGTACTAGATTTACTTCCACCTTCAGTTTGATACTATGGTTCACCACGAAGCATTTTTTGTTCAGGGATGGTTCTGTAGTCCCCACAACCAACTCAGCAACAGGGACAAATGGGTAAGAATGAAAGGTCAGCACCTCATCTTAACCACTGCCCCTCACCCCAAGGAGCCCTTGGTCTATACTTGTTCAAGGTCAACAGTTAGGAATAAAGAGCTCCCACAGCTTCAAAACTCCAAGGAGAGGGCCAGATCGAAACTTACCATGATCCCAGAGCAGTCACCTACCTCTAATCCTGAGGCTAACTATACCCCAAAGTAGGTCAGACCAGTGTGTGCCAAACAGGAATAAATTGCACTTGCATAGGTGTAAGAAGGGGGAGGTGTGAAATCATATGCAAGTCAAGCTGTGATTCCCACCCCATCCTCCATCCCCCGGGGGCTACCTACCACCAGCCAGCGCCAGCACTTTGTGGAGAAGGGGGAAGGGGAGAGAAAGAAAAGCTCTCACTGATGAAGAACACCCAGTTGAATGTTCACTCTCTTTGCGCCTTCCTCTCCACCCATGAGCATCCTTAAATATCTACAGTAACAATTGTTCCAGCCGTTAAGGACCCCAAAGGAAGTGAAGTTGTTTAAAGCTGAAAACCACCAGGTTTTCTCTACTAACAAGGAAAAGCTTCAAGTGAAGTGAAAGTGGGCAGGGGTTGAGAATAGGCAGCAGCCCCTGGGCCTCTTGGGAATCAAGAAAGTATCCCTATTCCCAAGAGGTAATCCTTAGGGATCCAAAGAAGCTGAGAGGAGAGGTAAATAACAATAGCTGGACAATTAACACATTCACATGTTGATATGGGGAGACTTGGACCCTTTCAGAACTGACCCCAAGAACTACAGGAAGAACCTTACACAATGGTGCTTTCTCAGTAACAACCAATACCCAAATGAAGTCCCAAATTGTATGGCACAGAGGAGCTAAGCCCTGGTTAAAGAGCGAGCCCTGGTTTAGGGTCTCCACCCTGCTTTCCCACTGCAAATACAAGGTGCAGGGAAGGTGGAGGTGGAGGTGGGGGGTAGGGAGGAAGATAAGGTCCTAATTTAATAAAAGTTAAGCTAAGCAAGGGGCCTAAACCCTAGATAGTTTGGTCTGTAAATATGATTGGAAGCATAAAGACCTTGAGCAGGGTCTCTCCAGCTCTTGCCCACACCCTGAGGGGCAGAGTCAACTGCACAATTTAATACCTGGGGAGGGAGGGAATGGCTTCTTGGAGCAGAGGCATGGGAAGGATGAGAAATCGGATGCGATGGAGAAGGACATTAGGAGATAGCTTCCCTCAAAGCAGTCTACTTGCAGTGACTCAAAATATGACCACTATTGTCTCCTCACACTGAGGAAATTCCTTTTAAATCAGAAATGTTCCATTTAAAATGTTTCAGGGAGATAGAAAGGCTAGATCCCCTTAGATGAACAGAGTAGTGGACAGCCACACTGATGTCACATTCCTTCCCTGAACTCTCCTCCACCCCAATTTTAAACATCCAATCATAACCTCCGACACGTGCTGGCTGCAGTAAACTCTAAGTGAGTCTTTCATGACAGCCCCTTAGAGGGCTGAGCAAATATTTACTGTCTCCAGGAGCTTCTAGTCTCATTTTTCTAGCACTAAGTGCTACCTGACCGTGGTTTCCATAACAGCCACAATGGATAGGATCTGGGGTATATGTCTTCTCTACTGAACTGATACTCAGTTCATACTTCTGGAAGACTCCTCTCTACTTTCATCCTCCCTGGTCCCTCACTCAGTTGAGTTCTGAGACTAGAGCCAGAGAGGATATCCCGGCGCAACTGTGTATATTGCTTCCTTGAGGGAGATAGCAATAAAAGTCTCAGGGAAACCAGTGGCCCTGAAGAACCAAATTCCACTGCCATGGAGAGATCAAAGAAAGGCACACAGGGCTCCTCAGTGACCGCAGAGCTCAAATGTGCCATATTCATAAACCATTTGCCAAAGAAAGTATACTTTTTTAAAAAATGAAACAAAACTGAAAAATACCAACACTTTTGTCTTCCGGGGCTCCCCATAATTCTAAGATGAGTTCTTACTGAAGGTCCTCCTCTTCTTGTTCTCTGCCCCACCCCCACTCACTACTCCCCAAATTCTGCCCAGAATCTTGCTCATGGCCTAAAGATTTGACTTCTTTGGAACCACAAGTCCCCAGCTCTTGCACTACTTACCCCAGTCCCCCACTGGGCTGACTCCTCCCTCAGCTAGGAATGAGGAAAGCTGATCAGGAATAGAGATGGCTCCTAATAACTGGTGCCAGAGTGTCAAACTTCCTAGGGATGGCGGGAAATTCACATTCTCTGAGCCTGGGGTACTCTTCACTACTGTTTCAAACCTGAGAACTCTAAAAGACCCTTCCCTCTAATCAAATCAGACTGAATACTTCATCCAATTTAGCAACCCCTATGTGTATAGATCATTCTGGCTGTATTAATGCATTTGGTTCTTAACTTTTCTTGGGCTTTTTCATGGCTGCATGTTGTCTCTGCCATTGATTTAGCTCTTCCGGGGCAAAGGGTGGGCCTCCTTCCTCACTATCCTCCTCCAGGGCCTAGTATGAGAGCTCAAATACGCTGACTGACCTTATAGAAAGCTATCCCTGCATTCCTGGGCAGCAGATGAGATCATGCAGGAGAAACAGCCACAGCCACAAAGAGCAGAAGCCAGTCATCACCATGCACTGAGTACCCACTAAGTGCAGAGCCCTGTGCTGGGGCACTGGAGGGAGATAAAGAGGGAGGAGAAGCCATAATCCCTGCCCTTGGAGAGGAAACAAACAATGGAACTTGACTTTGGTGGAATGTAAAGGCAGAGGGCAAGAAGGGAGTAAGGATGTTTGAGACATGGTAGGAAAAAAAATCTGTAGATTAGAAGAAAACACAGACCGCCTATATGGGAACATTTAAAATTCACTTCCAGACAATTTAAAAGAGCAAGGAAAAAAATGCTTCCTTCCTGCTGTCATCCTCATTGCATTTACTAGCAAATATATCCTTTGATTTCCTCCAGTGAGGTTCAGCTAAGCAGGATGGGAGGCTGCCCTAGATGTGGGCCAGGATGGATGGATACTGGTTCTACCAAAGACTAGATCTGGGGGCTCTTCATCTGGGTTTTTTTAAAACATATTTGGAAAACTGTATTTCAATGTAATTGATTTCCTTGGTAATTCTACTTACTTAGTTTTATGCATTTAAAAATGTGATTCTGCAGAGGGGGTCCATGGGCTTCTTAACCAGACTGCTAAGGGGATCCACAAAAAAAAAGTCTCCTGGGCTAGAAGATAATTTCATCACAGTCTGGGTATGGGGAAAAGCCACAGATTCCCGTCCAAATTTTTCCCCTTCTATCCCAAGTTGACAAAACTAGACAATACTTAATTATCCACAGAAAAAGAAAAGAGGAGTATGAGGCTCGTAACAGGTGGACAACACTGTGAGGTATCATGACATGAGTCAGAGTCAGAAGAGCTTGGGTCTAAGGCACAGCTTTAATCCTTCTTAATTGTGCAAATCTGGACATGTCCTTTTAACCTCTCTGAACCCCATCTACAAAATGGGGAGAACAATACTTGAATTCCCTGCTTCAAAGGCTTGTTGTCAAGAGAGCACTTCGTAAACCTCAAAGTGCTATATAATTGTAAGTGACAGCTGGCTGATGGAGCAGGGGCCATTTTTAAACCAAAGACGATCCACGGGGAAATGCTAACATCAGTTTTATTTAGTTTGGGAATGTATTAAACTATTTTAAAAAGCATATTTATTTTCCAAATTCTGTCTGCTGAATCTACTACCTACATGATTGCGGGGGGGGGGGGGGGGAGGGAGGAGGAGGCATGCCAGGGAGGATTGGCTTAGAAGCACGGTAAATAGCTGGGGAGGGCCAGTTAAAATGAAAAATTTTGTTGTGGATTATTAAGAATTACCACCTCTTCAGTCATCTGCAAACCTCTTTTTAACCCACCATTTCTGCCTCTTTTTTACCCTAATACAACATTTTCTCAACAGAGACCATCATCACTGGATTTGGAGATGGAAGATCTGGCTTTGGCTCTTCGGGCCAAAACCTCTCTTGGCCTCTATTTCATCATCTATCAAATGAAGGGAGCTGAACTAGATAATCTCTAAGGTTTCTTCCAAATTCCAACTCCAGGAATTTCACCTATTGTTCTACCTTCTTTCTTGCAGCTGCTAACGAATGGTAGCATAACTAGAAAACAGGCCTGAAAGACTTAGCCATTCTGTCCCTGGATGACTGTATCATGAGAGTTTGAGGCCTAGTAAACAGCTCAACTGTTTAAGGCCTGAGTCTTATAAAGTCCTTAGGTGGTGCTGAGTGGAAAAGATCACTTGTTCTTCACATGCACTGAGTTAACATTTACCTGAAGCCCAAAGCCTCCCTACTCACCTCATTACTCAATCCAGACCTTTCCTGGTAGCTTCCCATTTCCCTTTTTATAACCCTGAAATTCCTCTCTGCCTCAAACCTCCCTTCCTTCCATCTCTCCCTCACTCCTAAACCTATGCTTCACCCTTCCCATGATCTTCAACACTGTACCTCTTCCTGCTCTCCTATACATTACCCCTGTTCTGCCCTCCTTTTTGTCCCTTAATAAACCTGACCTTCTATTATATATACCTTGACTCCTTGTCCCACTGCCATGCGTGCTTGGCCAAATCTCAATTATGTATTACCTCACCATCCACCTTTTTCCCCCTCAATCCTCATCCTTCTCAGCAGAGGTCCTCACCTCCTCTTCTATTGTGAAACCAGGCCATCTGTCATGAGCTCCCTCTTCTTATTTTGTACTTCAAAATCCTTAGACATCACCTCCCCATTTCCTTCTCCTTTGCTCCCAAGGCCTAACTCCTTTACTCACGTCCTTGACTCTAGCCCCTGCTGTATTCTCTGGGAGCTTACCCTTTCCATCATTTTTTTTTTCTCTCTTCCCTATCTTTAATCTCTCCCTGTCTCCATGCCTGCTGGCCCCCATTCTTTAAAAAATAAAAAACCATTTAATCGACCCTTTCACACCCTCAAGGTATCTGCCTCTCTTTTTCCTTTCATAGACAAACTTAGGAAAAGCCCTCTATACTCAGTGCCTTCATTTCCTCACCTCCCAAAAACTTCTAGACTCCTTACAATCTGGCTTTCTGCCTTATCACCTGAAGAAACCACTCTCTCCAAGGTTACTAATGATCTCTCAATTGTCAAATCTGATGGCCTTTTCTGTCCTCATCTTCTTGACCTATCTGCAGCTTTGACACCTGGACCATTCCCTCTTCCCAAATCCTGTGTTCTCCCTAGGCTCTCCAGATATTCTTCTGGTTCTCCTCCCTCCGGGCACTTTCATTGTGCCATCATCTTTGTTCCATCCATTAAGCACAGGTGACCTCCCAGTTCTAGGTCCTCTTCTCTATATCCACTGAGTGACCTTATCAGTTCCCATGGGATCAATTTTCATCTATATGCAGATGACTCTCAGTTCATACACAGAATCCTAATCCCTGTCCTAAACTTCAGTTTCCCAATACCAACAGCTTGCTTGATAAATAACTCAAAGTCAATATAACCAAAATGGAATTCTTATGTTCCCCCCAGCCCATCCCTCCTCCAAATTCCTATTTTTGTTGAAGAAACCATCATTCTAATCACCCAACATAGTAAACTGAGAATTATCCTAGACTCAACATTCTCCTTCACACTTATATCCAAGTCTTGCCAATTCTAAGTGACCTCTCCCATCTGTCCCCTTATCTTTGTTTATACAGCCACCACCCTAGCTCAGGCTCTCACCATCTCTCACCTGGGCTACTGGGATAGCCTGCTAATCCACCTCCCTTCTTTTAGTCCCAAATAATCTTCCTATAGTACAGTCCTGGCCAAGTCATTCTGCTCAGGCTTCAGTGGCTCCCTATTGCCTCTAGGCTAAAATATAAAATCCCCACCACGGCATTTAAGCCCCTTTATGACCTGGCTCAAGCCCACCTTTTTTTTTTTTTTTAAGGCCTATTTCACATTAGACCCCTTTCAGTCCATTCCAGCCAAAATGGCCTCCTTGCTTATTTATAGGTGTTTCATTTTCTGTCTCTATGCTTTTCCATAGAAGCATATGCTTTTCCATATGCTTCCTGCAAGGCTGGAATGCACTCCCTCCTCACTCATACCTTTTCTAATCCTTAGCTTCCTTCAAAACTCATTTTAGGGGCCACCTCAAAAGCCTTTCCAGATTTCTCAGTTAGTACACTCCTTCCCTCTTCAAATTATATCTTATATGCTTATCTGCATAAAGTGCTAGAATGTAAACTCTTGGGAGAAGGGGGTAAGGACTCCCCCCCCTTTTTTTTTGTATCACTAGGGCTTAGCTTAGTGCCTTGCATATAATAGGGGCTTAATATATGCTTGTTTAAGTGAATGAAAATGAATTCTTGTGCTTGAGTGTGGAACCAGGGGCACTGGGAGAGACTCTTAAGTCCCAGTCCTTCATCCCATTTGAGGCAGAGCAAAAGTAAACAGACACCATAGCTTTCTCTGAGTGCCCAAACCCATTCTAAAGGTCATGGTGGCATCACTTAGCAACCAGGCCACCACAGAGTCCAGTCAATGGTGTGCCTAATGAGAGGTCCCAAGAGTTGAATGAGGTGTTCCATCAGCCCCCAGCCATCTCCAGGCTTTGGATCATGTACTCCCAGTTCACTTCCGAGATCAATATGAAAGGCCCAGGTCTTAAACAAATTAGCCATGGGAATAGCCAAGGTGAGTAGAAATGTCAGGAAGTTTGGATGACTTGGGAGATGCTCAATAGGTCTCTCACCTCCACCCCCATATCAATGTTGATTACTGTTACTATGGCAACCAGCCCCAGGAAGTTGGTCCACACTTCCTCCTCCTGGGATAGAAAATTTGGAGCAGAGTTTGGGTTCCCCTAGGAGAAAATGGAAGGAAGGCCCCTTCGCCCCACTTCTTTCAAGTGCCCCTTGCCCCCACATCCGCTCCAATCCCCCTCTTCACCCCAATCTCTCAGCTCCCCACACCTACCTCCTCTAACTCATCCTTGGCATCCAAACTGGTGGAAAGTAGCAGCCTCCCCCCTCCTGGGGCTCCTGCTCCCGCTCCTCCACCTCCCGCTGCTGTTCCCGAAGCAGCTGTTGCTGCTCCCCCCTTTCCCTTCTGTATCTCCATGGCTGGAGCCAGGAGAAGTGGGGAGATATGGGAGGCGTGGGGGAAGAAGGCCTAGAAATGGGGAACTAGGGGGGTGCTAGAGGACCACGAGGGGGGGAAGGCAGGAGAGAGGTTGGGGGGGAGAGAGGGGAAGGGTCCCTGCCCCCCCCACCCCCTCCTCTGAAAGAGGCTGCCCCTGGGGTGGGGGGGAGAAAGGGGTGATTCCTCTGGGTCCTGCCCCTGCGGTGGGGAGGGGAAACCCCTTTAGTTCTTCTCCCTAAGGTTAGGGAGTGAAGGCAAGGGAAGGGTCCTGTCCCAGCAGGGGCGGGGGGCGATTCTTCTGGCTCCTGCCCCTGGGAGGGCAAAGGAACCCCTAAGTTTCTGACCCCTAAGCTGGGAGTGGGGGGAGTCCTGTCCGAGATGGGGGGGCGGCAAACCTTTCTGGCTCCTGCCCCTAGGGTATGGGGAGTGGGACCCCTCTGGCTCCGGCCCCTAGGGGGCTGGGGAGGGGCTATGAGCGCTATAAGGGGGCACGGGGGACCTGCTGCTCCTTACAGCACACAGAGGCGGCCATGGTGGAAGGGGAGGGGGAGGAGAGGGGCACAGGCGGGCGGGCGGGGGAGAGAGGAGAGAAGGAGCCGCGGAGCCCCACCGGAAGTGCCCGGTCGCGATCCCGAAGCTTGGCCAATCGCCGCCGCCGCAATCATTCGGCGTTTCGGCCGAGTTGGCGAAGGGCAGTGGGTCGGTCCCTTCCCTGGCCGCCAATTGGATCGAAGAGGGGGAAAAAGAAGGCAGATGGACAGCCCAATAGGCCAATCATATTCCTAGATTCTACTTGGAGAGGCGGGGCTGGGCGGGGTTGGAGGGGGAGGGGAAGGAGACCAGGAAGGGGAGACGGGGCGTCTGCGTTGCGCCTGCGCGGGGTTGGTCTCACTCTTCCTTCTTTCTCTGTGTCTTTGGGCGCAGGACGGAGTTACCTCGGGCCTTCTGCGCTCTAGGGCAATGTAACTTTAAGATGTGGAAGGGTTGGGTTGGAGGGAGACCAACTCATCTCCTCTGAATTAGGGGAATATAGAAATGCAGGTGGGGAAGCGTTAATGCATAAACCTTCTACTAGCATGGAGCTTGGCGGGGGCCGTGGCCCCTGTGTGTTCGCAGAGGGAGCATTTCAGTGAAGCACGTGCACACTTCGTCTTATATTTCTCCTGCTTAAAGAGTCTAGTGATGAGCAGGGTGGGGTGATTGCCCGCCAAAGCAAATCAAACGCCATTTCCCAGGTCATGGTCTTCATAATTAGCTGTGGCTGAAAAATGTAAAGAGACACAGGACGCGTTCCAAAGCCTTTTCGGATTGTTTAGCTGGCCTTCCTTCCCCTGGCTTTGGCCCAGGCAGTGTGTGTCCCAAGAACCCAGGGTCATACCCGTATGACAGTGAGGGATTAGGGACTAGGGCTAAGACTGGCTTAAGATCTGTTAACATTTCACTTGGAATGAAAATTGGAAAATGGAGATTAAGCACCCTGTTTAAGGTAGCAAGTGTTCATCAGCATCTACATTTTTGAGATAGTCAGTAGTCCCCAGCTCCCTCACTTCAATCAATTAAAAGAAAGTGTTTATTAGGCAAAGCACTGTTTGAGGCTCTGGGGGTTACAAAGACAAATGAAACAGTCTGTACTCTCAAGCAACTTAACTTTAAACAGCATGTACATAGGTAAATGAAAAATATAACATTCTAAAAGATTTGGTTAGATTTTATGCTATTAAAATGTTTTGGTAATTGGATTTCAATATAATTGCTTTCCTTATGTATTTTGTTTTATATTTTCAAAAACATTACTCTGAAAAGGAATCCATAAGTTTCACTATACAGCCTAAGGGGTCCCTAAATGAACTTTTGAAAGTTTCCAGGAGGCAGAGGGGAAGAAACATACTAGGTATGTCTGCAAAAAGGAATGGAAACGGGAGATTTGTGGGAATGTCCCACGAAGGGCACAGCAATTTAGACCAGTATGGTTGGAATGTAAAGATCCTTTGGAGAAGGAAGAGACTGTTGGCAGGGAGAACAGAATTCTTTTTTTCTTTTTAAAGTCTAGCTAAGAGGTGATGAAGACCTGAATTAGGATGGTAGCTGTTTTAAGTACAACAGGATAGATGTGAGAGATGTTAGAGAATTAAGAACTGACAGGATTGAGAAGCTGATGGAATAAGTGTGATGAGGAAGAGATGAGAATTGAAAATGACTCCCAGGCTACAAACCTGGGTGACTAGAAAGATGGTAAGGCCTTTGGTAGAGAAAGAAGTTAACAATAGGACTGGGTGTAGGCGGAAAAGATGAGTTCTGCCTGATATTTAGGATGCCATTGGCACATCCAAGTGGAGATGTCCAGTAGGAATTTGATTAGGGAGGACTGGAGCTCAGGAGAGAGATAAGGACTGGATATTTGAGGTCTGGTAATCTGCACAGAGATGATTGAACTAATCATGGGAGCTGATGAGATTAGAAGAGATACTAGGAGAGAGTATACAGAGGAAGGATAGAGGGAGGATTCAAGACAGAACTCTAGGGTACACTCACACATAGCAAGGACACTCCATCTCCCAGCTCCAGGCATTTTCATGGGCTGTCCCCCATGCCTGGGAAGGAACCTCTCCCTCCTCATCTCTGCCTCCTGGCTTCCCTGGCTTTCTTCAAGTCTCAGCTAAAATCTAGTCTTCTATAGGAAGCCTTTCCTGATCCCCCTTAATTCTAGTGCTTTCTCTCTGTTGTTTGTTTCCAGTTTATCATGTTATATAGCTTGTTCGCATGTTGTGTCCCCTATTAGATTGTAAGCTCTTTGAGAGCAGAAATAATCTTTTGCTTTTCACTGAATCTCTAGCACTTAGCACAGTTTCTGACACATGGCAGGTGCTTAAGATTTTTTATTGACTAAATGACCTGTATGATGAATCAGCAAAGGAGACTGAGAAATGGTTGTGAAACAGGTATTAAGAGAACCAGTAGGGAGCAAAGTGAAAAACAAAACAAAACAGGGAGAACAGAGTATTCAGGAGGAAGGATGTAGATCAAGAAGGAAGAGGGCTGAGAAAAGTCGATAGATTTAGCAATTCAGAGGTCTTCTTAGCCTTTCTATTTTTAGATCAATTGCAATTCAGTAAACATATATTGAGCATTTACTATGTGTGCTAAACATTGAGATGGTTAGAGAGAGAAATGTGTGTGCAGATTTGTTTCAAACTTAAAATACACCCTTCAGATGGTTATATGTGTTAGCGAGTCTGTTTCCAATTCAGGTTTTTTCTGCAGTAACACTTCCCATTTTCTAGTAACCCTTAAAACCTACCTTTTGCTGCAGCATCAGATTCAAGATTCTCCACGTTTTTACCTCCTCCTTAGATTAGTGAGCTTCACTAAAGTCTTGCTTTGATGCCTCTTCGTGAAGTGGGTTCTTGAAAAGTATGGCAAGTATGGCAAGGAAACATAAATTTTAGCAAGTCCTGCCAAGCTAGCCTTTACCAAATGTAGAGAGGCCATTACCAGAAGGGTGGTAACTAGATGATTAATATTTTTGATTGCAGCAATTCCTTAAAGGACCTGTAAAGGCATGGAGTAGTTGAGATCTGCATAGTGGAAGGTATAATCATACTAACAGTCATACAGATTCTTAAATTATAATAAGGGAAGTATGACAGTACTGAGGTCAGCTAGTATTGTCAACATTTCAATTACATTTAAAAACAATGTAGTATTCTTTAATGTTATGTTACTTTTATTTTCATATATACCTCCCTTTTTCCCTATCCAAAGAAAAGTCATCCCTTATAGCAAATATTTTTAAAAGAAAGAGAGAAAAAAGTAAGAAAAAAAAAGCAATTAAGCATAACTAATCAACACATCAACAGAACCTGACAGTACTGTATAGATAAGGTTCCCTATCACACCCTGCAAAGGGGTCCCACACCCTACAAGAAAGGGTGAGAAGCACATATTTTCATTTCTCCTTTGGGACCAAAGTTTAGTCCTTGTTATTACATACTGCTCAGTGTTGTTTTGTTTTTGTTCTTCCATTTACATTGTTTTTTATATATACATATATATATATATATATATTGCTCCTCCCCATATATATATATGTGACTTTCCCCACTTCTGTTTACTTCACTTTGCATAAGTTCATAGAGGAAGGAAATAAGCATTTATTAAGCTCCTGACATGTGCCAGGCACTTCACAAATATCTCATTTGAACCTCAAAACAAGAACTCCTGTGAAGTAGGTGCTGTTGTTGTTTGTTGTTCATACTCAAAAGAGTACCAATGATATTACAATGTTAGGGTCAAGGTACAGTGTGTTTGTGGCTAATCAGCCAACACAAGCTTGAAAGGCTTTACCACAGGTCAGGTACTGTTTGAACATTTGGAATGGAGATGTCTCTAGATTTGCACATCTCATATTTCCTTTTGAGCCACTTTGATTCTGCTTTGCTCAAAGAGCGTAGCGCCTCCTTTAATGTGGGCACACCATGCTGGGTGGTTCTGTACTAGCATCTCCCATGTCTTAAAAAACTAAAATTCTTCAGAGAGACCTTGAGGGTGTCCTTGTATCGCTTCTTCTGACCTCCATGTGCCCACTTGCCTTGTGTGAGTTCTCCGTAAAATAGTCTTTTAGGCAAAGGTGCCTTTGGCACTTGGACTACAAGGCCAGCTCATTGGAGCTGCCTCTCTGCAGCAGAGTTTGTTGGGCTGATTTTGTTGTTGGATGCCTGTGAAATCTGTACATTCTGCCAGTACTATGCCAGAAAATTGAACCCTTTCCATCTGAATTGTCTTAGGAAGATTCTGAAGATCAACTGGCAAGATAAGGTACCCGACGCTGAGGTCCTCTCTCGAGCTGAACTGCCAAGCATTCAAACTCCACTGTAGAGAGTGCAACTCTCAAGGTGCTGTTATAATCCACATTTTACAGTTAAGGTGAAGTGACTTGGTCACAGTTACATAACTAATGAATGTGTCAGGCAGGATTTGGACTGAGGTCCTTCTGACTCGAGGCTCAGGGCTTTATTCACAATGCCACCTAGTAACCTCTAGCAAGGGTAAGGGGAGCCTCTTCCCTACTTCAATCCATCCTCCAGCCACCAAAGTGATTTTCCTAAAACACCAGTTCAACCATGTCACTCCTCTGCTCAATAAATTCCAGTGGTTCCCTATCATTTTCAAGACTGGCATTCAAAGCCTTTCATTATCTAGCCCCCTCCTACATTTTCAATCTTCTTACACAACACTCCTTGTCACATGATTTTTAAAAATTTAATTTATTTATTTTTAGTTTTCAACATTCACCGCCCCCCCCCCGCCCAAGGTGTACAATCTGATATAGGCTCTACATATACATTCATGTTAAACATATTTTCCCATTAGTCATGATATAAGAAGAATTAGAACTAATGGGAGGAACGACAGGAATGAAGCAATAAAACAAAACAACGAAGTAAAAGGAGAGCAAATATGTGCTTCCATCTGCATTCAGACTCCATATTTCTTTCTCTGGGTGTGGATAGAAATTTCCATCATGATTTTTGGAGTTGTCTTTGATTCTTGCATTGCTGTGAAGAGCCAAGTCTGTCAAAGT